CTCCTCTCTGACAATGTTTAAAACCAGGTTAAAGACAGTTCTGTTTAGCTGTGCATACAACTGAGGGATTTTATATTTGTATCTTTCTTTTTAATGTTCTGTGATTTATTTATTTTAATGCTTTCTTATTTTGTTCAGCACTTTGAATTGCCTTGTGTATGAATTGTGCTATATAAATAAACTTGCCTTGCCTTGCCATGGTTGCTAAGACAAACTGGAACCCTTACCCTAACGTTACAACCGTTCTAAGCGCTTAAAGTAAAGAAAATCACCCCAGACTCATGTTCTTTACTCTTAGTATGGGCTTCTCCAGTCCAGCCGCCACTAAAGAGTCCCAACTAAAAATAAGAAGATACCTCAACCAGGTTAACTCCCGATATCTATGAACCTCCTGAATAACACGGCGCAGAGCGGCGATGGTTTCTGTCTGTGTTACTGTATTGTGGTTTGTCTCTGCTCTCTTGCATACCTCAAGTGTGGAAACCTGTGAGTCTAAAGCTAATTTCCTCCAGGACATAATAAAACCAATCTTGAATTGACTAAATAAAAATAAAAACACCAGGATCAAAGAGCAATAAGGCCACTTGGAGCAAAACTTTGTTCATTAGCACTTTAGTATTGGCTTCATTGAGCTAGCAGGTTAGCTTTGTCATCTATCTATATACTTTGGTCACTTTATAACTATTGTTCAGGAACTAAAAAACTGACGCTCAGCTGATTTCACTTGGCAGAGCTACACAGGAAAAAAGTTCTATAAAAGTTTTAGAGCGACGCACCAAATCCAACCTAAATAATATATACAGTCTATATATTCAACCATGGCCGAGATTTTGATGTAAACAGGCCTAAAGAGAGATTCATGAGGTAGACGGAAGGACACTCAGAAGTGCTCACACAACAATCTCACACAAGGTGCAGAGTAGTAGTATTGATCTTTTGGGGTATTTTCCTGAAAGAACGGAAACATGATCCCACTGTGGGAAACTGATATTCCCTCAATGCTGTGCAAATCACAAAAGTGTGCACTTTTCCCAATTACAGTCATTTGAATGCGGCATTGGGATCCAAAATGTCATTGAAACTAAATTCTTTTGGTTCCACTAAATTCAAATCAGGAGTACATATTGTCAAATTTTCAATTGAAAAAAATCAACAGCCAAGTTACAGTTTCTGTCAGTCACAGGAAAATAGTTACGTATGTTTCTTTTAACCAAGTGGCATTCATTAAATGTGACCTATTATGCAAACTCAACTTGTAAGAACTTTGTACTGTTATAATTGTTCTCATCTCATTTACATGTATTACTTTCATAATACTTTCTAATTTATTTCCATTCGGTCACCAGTTCATATCCTTTTACCTGATTCTTTGGAAATGTTATTTTAATTAATTGGTGATAAATGAATGTGAATGATTGGTTGATGTGGGATGACAGTGGGCCATGTGAGGCCTTGGAGAAGGTTGATGATGTCTAGTAAAGAGGCAGAGTGCAAGTCTATATGACAGGACTTCAACATTTTTTTAGATCAATGAACCAAAAATATGACTCATTTCATTTATATTATGACAAAGAACAAAACACAATTAAGATATATTATGCCAAATAACACAATAAATGACTCAAACAGACAAACACTTGCAAATGGTACTGTGGAGTGCCCACACAAAGAATACGCAGTACTGATCAGAGACAGATCATATCTGCTCCCGGTCCACCCAGAGTTCCTGCTTACACCAACTCCACTGTGGCCACTTGACTATTTTTGGATTATTGTTTCAGATGATTTGATGATGGAAGAAACCCCACCCTAAACAATAAGTGGAGGCAAACATGTGTTTGAGGAAGGCATGCAGGAAGTCATGTGTCTGGATCCTTCCAACTGAACAGAGTATTGTTGAACCAAACAGTTCCTCACATTCGTCCATAGATCCGACAAATAACACTACAGCAATATAATAGTTGACTTTCAAAGCAAGACCGAAATGTCACAGAAGTGTGTGATACTGGTTTTAGCTCAGTGGCCATGTATTTATAGCCCATTGTGCAGATCTCCTTTGGTGATGCCATGAATCAGCATTAGATCTGAGAAGAGGTTTTATGACTTATATGTCTGATGACTTATAATTCTATAATGACTGCAGAATGATATTCAAATGTGTTTTAGGATTAATCAGACAACCTAATGTTTAACACATCTCTATGAAGATGTTATCTACTTCACAACCCTACTAAACCGTAAAGCGCTTTGTATGGCCTTGATCTGTTAAATGTGCAATACAAATAGATTTACTCACTAGGTAGCTGCACGGATACTTGCCTCAAATATCCATGAACATTTTGTTGTTGTTTTACATTGGTTCAGCCAATGACCTGTATTGTTGAATACACAGCTGATGGTCACCAAAAACAATCATCTTTATTTAACCAAGATAGTTAGTAAATAGTGTTCAGAATCCACCTTGCAGTCTACATAATGGTAGGATTTAAGGTGAAGAGAGCTCAAGATAAACCTATAGATGCAGACACTGGGAGAACATGCATCTAAAACCCAGGACCTTCTTGCTGTGAGGAAAGACACAATAATGCTTTACCTTTTAATTCTGAAAAGTTACATAAAATCGGGTCTTGCGGAACTAAGAAAACTCTAAAACATTGAAGGCAATTTAAAGGATGAATGAACACACAAAAAAGCTAAAACTTTTCTATAAATAACTCTTTTTTATAAAAAAAAGAAACCACTTTTATTTGAAGTTTTACAGTACCGGCGCTTCTATTTTTGAAAGCATTGTTGTACAGTGCAGTTCTTCTCTGACAGAAATGCACATTCATGGAGTGTTTAGACAGCTGACTCGCAAAGCTTTTGTTTACAGCAGTCAAGTGACCAGAAATGGAAGGGAAATTTACAGAAACAAGTACAACTCTATCCTTTCACTGCTCACAAACAGCACAATATCCCCACTATAACCATGTGGCGCATACATTCAGGCAGCAAATAAGTCCCGAAACACGACTTGTGTTTTAGACATGCACATGACTGAAAGAGAACTTCTTTTTAGCCCATTCTTCCTTGTAAAAGTCTTCCATGTCCAAATGTATTTCTAAGCTGCCGTGCATATTCTTCTATTTTCACCTACCATCTCATTGCACATGTTTTTGTGGTAGGGGAAACCGGAGCAACTGAAGAACCTCAGCAGACAGACCGAGACGTGCAAAGAGCACATAGAAAGGTCCTGGAGTCGAACCCAGGACGTTCTTGCTGTGAGGAGAGAGCTCTAACCAGCCTCAGTGTCGCCTCTAATGACCCTAGACTGTTGCTGCTATGACCTTGGATGGTAAATAAACTGATTTGATGCAATCGTGCCCACCTCACGTTCAGAGAGTTCTTATGTGCTGTGTGAAGATGTTTTGTGAAACTGACAGAGCAGGAATTACATTTAAAAAAAGCTGATTGGAGACTACTCCTTCTGATGAGACACACTCCAGTCCTCACTCAAACGGAACAACATGTTTACATTGGAGATATTGTTAGCAAAACTCCTTTGATGTGTGTGTTCATGTTTTCATGCTTATATTGTCTGAAAAAATCATTCATTCATTAAATAGCAGTCCAACTAGTTCTTGTTATCGATTAATAGTGTTTTTAAAACCACAGATGCTGTGAAGAAGTGCTGCAGAAAGATATTTTGAACAATTTTGTTCTAATTTGTCTATGAGATGTGGTTGAGTCGCCTCATATTAGCTTTGGTTTGTCAAATCCCATATTTACATGCCTTTCTTGATCCAAACAACTAATCCATTAATCACATGAATAATCAACCAACTAATTATCAGAATAATTGTTGATTACAGCCAAATATTTCCTATCTGATCAGAAATGATAATATTTCAAATCCACACAAAAGTTGGTAGAGCATTGGCCCTTCCACCGACTCTCACTGATGTTTGCTGTCTTTGTGTTCTTGGGCAAGACACTTTACCCCACTTCGCCCATAAGGAGCGTGGATAATTGTACGCTGCATGCCTTGATGTGTCTATGTGTATTCATTTTAAAAGGAAACTATGATATTTCATCAAACTGATACAAACTGAATAACATAAAGTGTTGGCTTGGAATTTATCTAATGGCTGCAATTATTTACACTCTAATGATAACAATTCACTAAGTAGGCACGGCCCTCACCGAACATTTCCCAGAAAACGGGGGAGGGGGAGAAGATGCAAGTCTAAATACTATAGTGCATTTCCTCCTAAAGAAACAAAAAATCTGCAAGTAGAAACAAAGAACTTTGGACTTTGGTAGTCATAAAGAGTATTGCAAATCTTTAAATCATTTGTTTGAAAATCATTAAAGTAACACACTGTATTTGTCTTTTTGAGGATTCAATTGGAATGAAACGTTAAAACCATACTTTGGAATAGTGACGGTAAAAAATATTAAAAATGTTTTATATAATGGCTAAAAGGTTGCATGCTCTAACATGAATGTAAAATGTTGCATATAGTTTTCACGTAGGGTGTATTTGTGACATTGAGAAAGCCAAACTTTTTCTGAATGGGCTTCCATATCCACAACCTGCCTCGGACATGTCCTGGAGAAGGGCCTCCTCCTGCTACTGCTGCTGCTTGTCTCCTTTAACCATAACTTTCCACGCACGAATGTTCCACGCAAAAACTTCCTATTTGCATGGAATCATGTAGGTGACTGCTCTAGAAAGTTGCTGAGTGAGTATCAGTTGCGGAAATCATACTTGAACTGATGAAATGTTGAGAAATTGTCACGCACACTTGGAATAGGCATCGCTAAAACGTTCTAAAAAGATGCGTTGCGAATCCTAAAGGAGTAACTACGCCTGTATAAGAGCCACTGCTGCGTGTGCGTGTGTCAATGGGTAATCCAGAGATGTGCGTGCAGATGACACCTGCTGTTCTGCTACAGGCTGAAAGATGGTACAGAATTATATATATATAAAAGGCCCCGAAACGATGCTTGACACGTACCTTTGCCATTCTGCCATGCGGTGTACCAGGACAGGCTGAGGAAGGATGTGAAGAAGATAATCGCCGTGGCCACAGTACCATTTCTGAGCCTCATCTCATTTTCATGTCAGCGATGCCTCTCTGGTGCTCTGCCCCCGCTTTCCTCTTGTTCTCCGGGCTGTTCAGATGGGCGTAGACAGAGCCATACGTGAGCGGCCAAGGGTATAACCGAGGCACACGGCCCGATACCCGCTCTCAGTGTTCGGTCCTCGAGCTGTCGTTTGAGAGCTCCCTCCCTGGAGCAGTGGGTCACGAGTTAATCCAGTTTCCCCAAAAAGACGGTGCAGGACGAAGCAGGCTTTCCGACGACCAATCAATCACCAAATGATCCAAAAGCAGTGAGCTACAAGTTACAAAAATGATGTGTTTGAGTGTGACGGGCAGATGGACCAGGATAGGCTGTTGGCTCTCTGACGGCAGCTAAAAGCAACGCCCAGATTCACGTTATTCTGCCCAAGCTGACACCAGATAAATACAACTAACAGCTCCAACAATGTGGCTCACCGCAAAGACTTAACGCCACTGCCTTCTGTGTGAAGAGGCATGTCAGCTGACCAGCCCTGCAGCATGTTAGCGAAGTTAGCAACACATTCACTTCATCACAGACAAGAGCGAGAGCAGGGGAGTGTGCTGGGCTACTCCAGGTTGCCGTGGCTACCTAAAAAAAATCACGTGGACACAACAATGTCCGGTAAAAGAAATGATGTACAAAGGTCCACAGATCACGAAGCGGTGGTGAACTCTCCACCACCACCAGCTGCTGCTGCTGTTGTTACTGCTGCTGTTGTGCCTGCGCCACCTGCAGACTGCGGCGGGTGCGTGCGCCTGTTATCGTCATAGAACCACCCCTGCATCCGAATCTACAAAAAGCGCTTTCTTCCTTATCATTGTTTATTGACCGCTGTGGCAAGAAATATGAACAAACTGGCATTAAAAAGTATTTAAAATGTGTTTAATTTCAGTTGACCAAACTGTGGGCTACTGAATATCATAAAGGTTCAATTTTAAAGCACAAGGAGGGATACGGAAAGAGATTTGGACGGAGTCATGTTGTGCGCCATGTGAACGTGCATGCGACTACTTCCGGGTTCACCGAACCGGTGCTTCTCATGGATGGATTAAAAATAATTTTAGAGTAACATTATTTTTAATGCATTAATAATGAATATGTGGAGATAGTTCTATATTTATAAACATGTATTTTATGTATTAAGGAGCTTTGACTTCCCAACACACTACAATGCGTTTTGTAAATTATAAACTAAATCCCTTTGAACAGATGATGTAATACACATTCAGTCTATAGCAATGCAAGTCCTAAATACAAAATGAAAAAATAATCGAAATAAACATGCATTACTTGGTAAATATGGTCACAGGACGCCATCTAGTGGGAAGATTTAACTATTAATTCAAGTATTAACCTTTTAAGGATCACCCTCCCTGTACAGGGAGGATTCAGATATTTTTCATTTAACAGCATCAGTATTCGAATTCACTTGTGTCAATATAGTCACGCTATACCTCTTTTGAAAGCTTATTCCCACCTCTAAACGCGTATTATGTTCAAATAAACATTAAATATAACTAAAAGTAAGAAAAAGTAGTCAAACTGTATATGTATATAAAATATATATCGTCCTTTCTTACCTTTTCATGCTAATATTCTGGGGCAAATCACGTCTAATCCACACATGTGTGCATTCGTTTTGTTCGTGAGGGTTCATAGAATAATTATATCCACTTGTTTTTTCTACAAAGTCATCCTTATAGTAGATATCCAGTTGTAACGACACATTTGAGTATTGAAAGTTGCACAAACGAAAATAAAACCTGTTCTTTGCGCACTGTATGAAGTAGGCATGTTACTATTTACCTAGCGTCACTGGGTATGTTCTTCCTCTCAGTCTTCCCTTCAAAACAAGCCCATTCCCGGACTTTTCAGTGCTATGGTTTGGGAGGTAGATCAAGTTGACTAAAACAAGCGCACCTAACTTTACCGCTCCAGTCATATAGATATCTGTGCGTCACGACAGCATTTTCTTGACTGCCATTGGCCGATTTGGATGTCAATCAAACCATCTTGTAGCCAATAATCTCAGGTTTCAGGCGATGTATCGGACTTCAAGGTTCCTCCCACTGTTCCAGTCATATTTGAATGCGTAAAGAGGAAGACGGAGCATTTTCACGGAGAACACGCGCTATATCTATATAAATAATAGCTTTTCTGCAAACATTTCAATATCTGGAAAAAATCCTATTTATAGCAAGAGTAATAGCCAAAAAATGATATAATTTGATTTTTGGTGTAATAACATTGATAATTTGCATGTAAAACACTTTGGCACAATTGGCACAAAAATGGACCACTTGTGCCGAATGTGCCCATTAGTCACAAAAAAGCCCCCAGCATCAAAATGGTTCCACCTAAAGGTCTAAAATTCCCTACACTTGTTGCCAACACCACATACATCTGCTCTGGTGAGTTTGAACAACATACCATAAAATATGTTTTCAGGAGATTATTTTGAAATTGCCTTTTTTTTTTCGAGACAAAAAAAACTAACTTTGACTCATGTTTGAGAAGGTGTAGTGCAGACTGTGTCCTTCCTAACAAACTGTAACATACATTTCCAGAAACTAGAAGGTGTTACCTTTCAAATGAGGCATCATAACACAAAATCAGACACAAGATGTCCACACAATAAGCATTTCCATTTGAGTATCATAATTCAAGAAGGAGCAGGCGAAATTAGGTGATCCTTAAAGGGTTAATAGTTTTGTAACTCTCTGATGTTTTGATGATGTCAGAGGCTTTGCCTTTAGTCGATACATTCACTTGATTTTGGAACACACATTTTGTATTCATACATTCTTTTAAAATAGAGCCACATGATCATTGTGTAAAATTTTCCTGTTTCCAAACAGGAAAAATGTAGATGACAGCAGCACAGAAAGTAGCATTAGAATGGGGTAGCTTTAAAGTAGTCATCCAAAGGTATCAGTGATGTCCCTCCAATCCAATCCTGGAGCCATACTTGAATCAGCTCCAGCCTCATGAAAAACCACTTGTGGCCTACAGGCCATTTGGCCATGACAGGATGTCTGCAATTACAGCAGAAAATCAGATACGCAGTTTGTATACTTTAGTCATAATGATACAATACTGGTACCTGGAGAACATTGCTTCCTTAGCAAACAACAGATCTTCAGGGGGAACGTCCATCAACTTTCCTGTAAGAGTCAGTCGAGCGCATCTCGGATCCTCAGGATCATATATCATTTGCCTAAGAACATTTAATTTAACACACACTTAAATAATCTTCTCTCAAAAATTTAAGAATAAAAAGAAGCAGCAGCTCACCGACAGAAGTCGCCTTCAGCCTCCGAGAAGGTCAACGATGCATATGGATTTAGCTTCAAGTCAGAGACAGAGTCATCCATTGGAGTCATATAAAAGTAAATTATGCCAGTGCTATTATCCAGTGGGCCATCGCTGACAGAAAAGACGTTTCCAAATGGGATTCCTTTGATCTGAGGACACCAAAGGACAATGTTAAAAGCATTCAATTACCAGATATTTATCAATAATAATAATAATGTTAATTAAGATTGATTTAAATCATGTGTACAACATGACATTTATCTAGCATGAGTAATGTAACTTAACCCTAATCACAGACTTGGGGAACACGCACGATCTGAAGCATGGCATTAAATGTACATTCCCATGTATTCCTGCAGACTTCACCAAAAAGTATGTTTAATTGCTGTAAAGAACAATTGTTTTCATAATCAAGTAATTGATTATACGGTAAAAGCAGCATCTGAAATTATTATTCTTTTTGATTATTCCAATCATGTTTTAGCTTGTTCATGTTTCATGCGATGTATCGTTGTCAATTATTGGGAAAAACCTGAGTTGCTAATCTTAGCCGATTTTTCATTAAAAATCTACACTAAAGAGTCATGAGACATTAGATATTAAATCGCTTATCGTGGTCCTTGTATGACCGTGAGCTTGCTGCTTGCGGGCACTGGGTTGGTGACCCCTGTCCAGGCGGCTACACTTTTTCTCCTCTGCTGATCGCGCGGTGGCACAGTATAAAAACAAAACAAATGTAACGTTTTTATGGTTTTTATGGTAATGCCGTACATTACTGCGTCACCGCAAAAAGTAACACTACAGTGAAGTCGGGATACTGCATAATCCTTACCCCCTCGTGAGATGAGATGGTGGACAGCACCCCCCAGTCGCTGTTGTGGGCTACGTATCTGGCGGTCCTGGCGGTCTCCTGGTGCGGAGGAGGGGAGCCGCTTTCAGACGCTTTTGCCTTTTTCACCGGATACGAAAACAGACGAGATGAAAGCTGGACAACAGCGTCTTGTTGGGACTTGACAGTCTCTGCGCGACCCTCGCTTTGCTTCTTCCACAGCCCCGTGGTGTCCACCAGCAGCGGGGCCACCTCCTCTGACAAGTCAGAGTCCTCTGGCTCCACCACGTCGTTAGAGACCCCCCAGGACACGGAGCCCCTCAGGGTGTAGCCCCCGCACACGCACAGCACAGCGGTAAAGGCCGCCAGCGACAGGTAGAGGGCCTTCATCGAGGTAGGACTATGGATCTGTTACGATAACGGGGCAAGAGTACAGAGCAGGACGCCCTGATGTTTACATGCTCACGTGTTCTAGCTTCTGTAACACGCGTGTCCGCACCACACGGACCTCTGCTGGACAAGAGGGGAACTACAACAACAGCACAAGGCCATATGGTCGAGAGCAGATGCTCTTGATCCATGAGTGGTGCGGTGGCTTGACAACTCCATAAAGATTTATTTTCCATAATCTGCTTTTTTATTCAAAAATTGACCAAAGAATCTATCTCGGCTCTATTAGAATTGTTTTAAAATAGTCCTTTTTCATTTATTTTCAGGCCTCTTCAATCACATTCATATATAAGTTTAATGATTACGATGTGGATCTATTGGTTCATTTGAAAATGTTGCCAAGTGTCCATTTTATGATCTTTAACGTTCCCCCTTGGAAGAGGCCATGGCCTCTCAGTGCTCAGCTGTTGATGTTGAGTCCCAGTTGTGGCTCTCTTCTGCTGGTGCAGATGTCTCTTCGGACGGTGATGCGCAATCAAATGGTTTGTGCATTCCACCCCTACTGTGAGTGTGTGTCTGCGTATACACGTGTGTAGAGTAAAAGGCAGTTGTTGGTGAGGGCCTATATAGCTGAGAGGTTGAATCATTTTAACCTTGTAGCACAAATATGCAACATAAAGTTCAACGATTATGGAAATAGAAGTTTTGACTTTTTGGTGTTTAATGCATCAACTAATGTATAACCCAAGAATACAAAAAAGCAAATATTCTAAATTACCAACCAATTGAATGCTGCTCTCCAAAAACAGCACAGATCATTTTGTCTGGGTTCTACGGTTAAACGGCTTGTGTTTTGTATGAAAACAACTTTGATTTGCAACTTTTTGATTTGATTTGCATTTGAATTCACCAGAAATTGTACTTTAATGTAACCTAAATAATGGCTATTTCAATGTTAAATCAAATGCTTTCTTTCACCTACAAGTTTTCCTACAATTCTGCCTCCAGACAGTAAGTATGTAAGTCATCTTTATTTATATTGCGCAAATACACACGCACACACAGTTGCCTCATTCATTACTATGCCATGGTAATAGATTAGTCAAAATAGCCTAAAAACCTATTTTTTTTGTTCTTTTGAATGTTTATATTGCACTTGACAAGGAATCCAGGTACAAGTTCTTTCAATGGGAAACTTTCAACTAAGACATTTCAAAACCTCCTCTTACGTTCTGCATAACTAACTCTGGATTTATGCTTTCATCATGCTCCAATAATCAATGCTTGATAAGGATAAGGCTTAGTACATTCTGAATGTATGGACATTTATCAACCTGTGTTCTACATTCTTTTTTGTGTCTTAACTGTTGATTCTCTGATCTGTGTTGGTGATTTTAATGGTTTTGTTAAGTCCTGAGATGACTACTGTTGTAATTTAGGGCTATACAAGAATAAATGTGTTGTAAATTGTGTTGATCTGATCTTGCTTCTATCAGCGTACCGCAGGGCAGCTAATTCTACCCCATGTATCCAGTGATTAAATAATGTGCTGTGAATCCCTATGGGTGTCATGAAAGTCATAGCTTAAATAAAGAGAAAAATGCTCATTTAAATAAAACTGTAACGTACGTGATGAATGATGAGAAGCTCTATTAATGTAAGCCGTCATCATTCTATTGTTTTACTGTACAGAATCAATACAAACATTACAAAACACACTTCTTATCCCTTGTTCTGAAAAGCGTTTCCCAACATTATCTCGCCTACAGTAAATAAGATATTATCTTCCAACACCCCTGTTGCAGTTCAATGTCATTAGTCCATGCTCTTATCACTCCAGGCCATTGATTTTCTTTTTGCAAGCTCTATCCAGGACAGTTCTCTGCTCTCCGACAAAGAATGCAGCGATGGAGCAGAGGAAGCAGCAGCTGGCCTTTTAATCCAGTTTTCTTCTTTTGGCGCCTCTACAATATTTTTAGGTTTTGACACTGAAAAGAAAAATGTATTTGTTTTTAGTGTAAAATTCATCATCGTATATTGCAGGCGTGTCAAACTAATTTTGGTCAGGGGCCGAATAAAAGAAATAGGAACTGGTCAGGGCCTTTTCTAGCCATTTTTTTTTTACATTATGAAGGTGTTTTGACATAACATTTATGTGACATGAGTTTTGCATTATTTTCTGGTTGATTTTTCCGAAAACAAAATGTGTTTATTGTTTAAATTTAACCAAAACTGGACCAAATATAAAGTTATACACATTGTTTTAAATCTAACCATTGAACCTTTAATGATGTGTTGGGTTAAAACTTTAGAATAAAACAAGTTAATAATAATAATTGAAAATACTAAAAATCGTCTTGCGGACCAGATTTGGCCCGCCAGCCTGAGTTTGACAAGCCTGATATATACAATGTTACCTTACAAACTTACCCGTGTGCTTAAATTCAGATTTTGCTTCTTTGCCGACCGCCTCACTTTTCATTTCCTCTGATGAAGTTGTCCACTCGGCTCTTTTCTCTAAAAAAGAAGCCTTCTTACTTACGGATCCTCCCCAAACAGAGCCCCCCTCCGTCTCCTCCGCAGGGGTGGTGCTGGTCTTACTGGCAGAGGTGGTGTCTTGAGTGAAGGCGACCCCGGTGGAGCGGAGACTACGGGTCGTCCAGAGAGGGGACTGAGGCGAGCCGGGGGAACTAGAGAGGACCGTGTTACTCTGTGCTGTGCTCTCCTGCTGCCGGACTGAGCGCAGAGGAGACTGGCTGGTCCATATGTTGCCTTTAACTGATTCTGTGGACGCAGTCTGTGATACTTTTGTTAGTTGTGCTGTGTTCTGTTGAGCTGGGGCTTTCTGTTCCTCTGTCTTGCTTACAGGTTCATTCATACTCTTTGTCTCCTGTATTTGTGGCTCTATATTTGGTGTTTGTGTCGTTGAACAGGCAGCTGAGATCCCTCCGTTAAACTCTTTTGGAAGTTTACTCGTGAATAGATTTTGAAGACTTCTTGTCTTTTCCTTAGCCATGCTCATCCAGGATGTGGATGTGGCGTGTGGCTGGGGCCTCTCAGAGACACCTTTCACCTGAGAGGGCGGGGCCTCTGCAGACACCTGTGGTGTGGTAACAGGAGCTGGGGCTGTAGAGACCTCTATGAAAAGATAAACATGTTAGATGAGCCAGAGAGCACAACCTGCTTCAAATATGAACAAGTAAAATACAAGATCAGAATGTTAACACTCTCTATTTACTATTTACATTTTAGGTGAAAATCTGAAAATAGTTCTATTACACTCACACACAATCTCTAGAAGTAAAGGCAAAACTCTGAAAATTATAATAGAGTTCTATTTTTTTCATGATATTCAACTTATAATGTGAAACTTATTTAAGAAAGACTCAATACACGCAAAGAAGATATAATCTTTTAATCTTTAATTATATAGCACCTCTCGCAGACCAGAGTCACACAGAGCTTTACAATTGTTGTTGTGGGCATTTGTCTCTCACTCCACACAGAGATGGGAGTGGGGTCGCCTACCGGAGGACCATGCCAGACCTATTGTACAGGTTTTTTGTGTAAGATATATTAAAATCTTTATTTGTTATAATGTTGATAATTGCCTCAAAGATGTACAAAACATCAACATTATAACTACAAAGGCTTGACCTTTGTCACTTTACAGTCCATATTATATATTGGTAAATGAACTTTTGAACAAAATTTGAATTTTCTGAGTTTCACCGATACATCTAGAGATGTACACACAGCAGGTGCTGAGAAGGCCTAAGGCGCTATTGGGCTCCTGGGTGCAGGATATAAAGCTTGGGAACTACATTTATTCCAACAGTAGTGAAGCCCCTTACTAGCACATACAGTAGCACTTTATACAAGCTACTGCACTTTACAGCACATTTGCAGCAACTCGCTTTGTGACATCACCTCCTCTTGTTCTTACTATCTTCAATGGTATTTGTGATTTTACTGTGTCTGTTTTTTAATGGGTACTTGCTGCAAAACCAATTTCCCCGAGTCGCACAATACAAGAGAGAGTGATTTGACTCTAACCAAAGTGAACAAAACTCACCTTGTGCGGTGTCTGCAGGGCTGGCTTTTGAAGACACTGGGCCAGTATCACTTGAATCTTGTTTAAGTTGTTCCTCCTCCATAACTGCTGACTTTAAACATTCATTTGAAGTTGTTTCAGGCCTTAGCCTCACAGACTGAGACGTAGAGCGCAGTTTAACACCAAATGTCGTCGTTGCCTCTTCCTTATCCTCTTCCTTCACGGCTGCAGCGTGGTCACCTGTGTCCGTCACTTTGCTTTGAACCTCTCTCACCAACTCCACCTTTCGAAGCTTGTCCTTTATCATCCATGTTTCTCCTCTTCCCACCATAAGGGCAACTCCATCAGGTTTTACATCCACTTTTGGCTCGATATTCGAACCCGTGCCCAGTCTCTTCTCTTCTGTCTTCATCCAATGTTCACGAACCCCCGTAAAACTGCCCGAGCGTGGTCTATCCTCCTCCTCTCTCCTTTTAGAAGCAGACAGGTGAAAGGAACCAGAGCCTGGGAGAGGTCTCTTGATCGCAGATGTCTTGTCTAGCTCAACTTTAGCTCGTAATATTACTCCAGGGCTCAGAGATAGCTGCTCAGAGGGTGTTGTTTGAGCCTTGACATTACCAGCCTTGTTTTGCGTATCTTTGAAAAGATTTATGTCAAATTGTTCTGAGCTGTGAGATTTCCCCTTGCTTTCTGATGGGATAAAAGAGGAGTGAGGCCGGAGCGGTGCATCTGCGGGTTTGGGAGCTTTTGGTCGAAGAATCTGAGTAGACACTGTGGGTATTTTACCAAGAATAGGTTCGTCTTTTTGGGGAGAAACAAAGCTAGACGCCTTGAGTGGTGTTTCTGGCTTTGAAACAGCTGTATTTACATTTTCCTGAAATTCAGTCCGTTCCTTTTCCTCTGCGAGAGTGTCAGAGATGATTAGGTCAGATATTTGGGCCGTGGAGTCAACCTGCACACACATAATAACAATCAGAATCAGAATTCAGAATTATTTGTATTGCCATTGTGAGTAACAAGAAGCCACAAACTAGGAAATTTGCTTTGGATTTTGGTGCAAACAAGTTCAGAGGTAAAAATAGATGTATGCATACTATAAAAAATCCACATAACATGAACTACAACATAAAAAGACTACTTTATACAAGTGCACTAAGTACACACAATAGACAAGTTATATATAATTAATAATAATAATTGTCTTATAAGTAATGTGTTATTTACAGCCGTGTGGCGCCTCTTGGAGCTGGCCCTCTGGTTCCGGGGTTTCACAGACAGGCGGTGGCGGGCGGCGGAGGTGTCTAAGGAGGTGAACTGTACTGGAGAGCAGAGGTCGAGTGAAGCTTCCTCAATAGGAGAGGAAGCTTTGGGCGGAGATGTCATTGGGGCTGGTTTAGTGCAGGGCGGCGTGGGGTTAGAGGATATTTGGAGTAATTCCTGAAAAAGAAAAACAACTTTAGTATTTATGTATTGTGATGATTGTGGAAACATGCAGGATTCTTTAACTATTGTCTGGTATATGTACTGTATCATAATCCACATTCGCCCAAAATCAACGTTTTAGTTTAAATTTGATTTGATTTTAGGAAACATAGCAGTAAATATAGAAAAGTAGAAAACTTTCCTGGAGGGGGGGAGTCTTCTGGATTATTCCATGGAAATAGAAAGTTAGGGGTTGTACTAGTCAGCACTCTTAGTGGTCTAATGATGTCATTACAATTAACTCCAACTTTTGTTGCCAGAATCCTCCTGCCTGTGACACATGCTTAATATAAGCACTGATTGCTGATGCAATCCACCTGCCGGGGTTTAGCTAGACACTATACTATGTATTATGTGTCAATACTTGTTTTTAGATATGCTTTCATTCAAACAAAGTCGTTGTTTTGTTTGTGAATTTTGTGAAAGACCAGCTAAATGTCCCACATTTGCTCTCTGATTGGAAAATCTGCTTATACATATTATTTTAGAATTAATAACTCCACTTCTCCTTAAAAGGCCAATTTTGGTTTGTACGTATAATCTGGGGATATGAAAGATTCAAGTATCACATACACCTCATTAAAGGACCTTTTATTGTTTGTTTTTTTTACCATTTTGTTTGTTGCATCAATACCTCAATAATGAGGGTTTTTTATGGAGGCGGAGGATTTTGAATGATCTACTACAAAGTTAAAAGTTTACCAACATAAATATTAACCAGTCTTTAATTAATGTGAGAGTAAGGATGACGGTCTCAGAAGCTTTTGATAGTTTCTGCTGATGTTTGGAATTTCTAAGCCACTGCATTCTTGTTTGTCTGTATGGTTAAATCAGCCGCAACATGGATCTCAAGTACAACGGGGCCACGTTCAACATTTCGGTTTCCACTATTTTCAAGCTATAATAATCAGTATATCATCAGTGACCGAATAAATTTATCTTACAGATGTTTTCTACAGAGAGAACATAATGTACCTTATCTGAAAGGATTATGAATAGGTGGTGACTGGGTTTTCGCATAAACAGAAACACAGTTGGTTAAAATATTAACTTGGAGTGTGAAGTGCAGCACTGTCATACTCGATGGATAATGAATAAAATTAAAATATGCTTTCACTAAACCTATAGATGCAGGTGTTCGTACCTTATTGAGGTTTTCCTGTGTCACCGCATACTGCTCGGTCATCTCTTGGCCTCTCGTGTGTTCTACTTCTGGCTGCTTAGTCTGATCTTCTGAACGTTTGACTGGAGGAATTGTAGGTGGTGGCCCCAAATGAAACTTTTGTTGTTGTAGCTTCTCCTAAAGGGTGAGATTCAAAGTTTTTCAATATCACAATAGGATCTACAGATAACGTTAATGAAAAAGTCCTACCTGTAGTGCCTTGATCTTCACGTGCACGTTCTCCTGGGATACAACTCTGGTCGGCTCGCTCTCCGTCAAGGCCTGGTCCGCTAAGAAGATGCTGTCATGAGAAAATGCCCGAGATCCCATGGCTCCTGGATTGCAGCTAGAAATAGAAAGTAAAAAGCATTCGTTTACAATAACTAAAGAAACATTCTCAACGCAACCAAATGAAGAACATATAAAGCCAATCATTACTCTGCCAGGTTTTCATCGGATCCAAGTGCCTCTTCCGCCGCGATATCACTGGCAGACTGACTCAGCTTTCTGCTTGATCCTCCCCCTTTCTTACTTTTCCCAAAGAAACGTGATTTAAAAGACTTTAGCTTTGACTTCTTGCGTCCTACAGAGAAATAACCATGCACATTTAGATGATTTCACAAGTATACAACTTAACTTAGTCAACAATTCAAATCACCTGAAGAGTCCTCAGTACTTTCTTCTGTCTCACCCACGAAGGTCTCCATCTGTCTTCTCCCACGATGATTACAGACAGAAAGAGAAAGATCAATACAGACACAAATGTACCTAGTCCTTGTGACAAATGCAGTGTGTTCAAGGCTGCATGAAGAGTTTCTGTTCACTGATGTAAGAGTCGAGCTGTAACTTCAAGTCGAGCTCAAAGGTTTATTGGCGTTATCAGCACTGAACAAGCCCTAGAGCTGGGAGTGTTGATACAAGGAGCATGTTTACTGTATGCAATGTGGAATAGAATCAGGAATCGTTCTTGTTCTTGATCCGGAAAGTGTCATTTATGGTTCAAAATGATATTGGGCAAACAATAGTCTAAACTTCTACTGTTCAGCAACTGTAGTAAGTTGGTATGTTACTGTAACAGGTAATGAAATAAAAAAGATTCAAAGCAATATCCTGGAGTGGAACAAACCCAACAAAAACCCAAACTCTCATGAAAGTAAATTGAACTCTAGCCCAGTAATGCCTGAACAAATTACATAAACAAATACAGGATCCTTTAATTTGAAAAGGACCCATTGACTACTCAACATGTTCCTATGCAAAAAAGCTCTTCGTGCTGCCTGGCTACCTACAATGTTGTTTCACTCTCCTGTAGTCTAGAAACCAGTGTCAGCAGAGCACAATATGATATCATCCTGTCGCTTGACAAGAGTCTACAAAGTCCACAACTATAAATTGTTCAAACTATTAAAGGCAAATAAGTGAATAATTGTATTTACAACTCTGCCTTTCAAACAGCCAGGCTGATTTTAGAGTGATTCATGATCTCATTTAGAGACAACCAGGCTGCAGCTCCAACAGCAACACAGGATAATCTGGTGGATTATTAACATTGCTGAAAGATCCTTGTAAGATTTCACTGGACAATAATCCACAGTATGTGGTAAATGACATGTAGCAAAAGCCCCTAAACCTTCTATAGTTTCACATTCACAGAGAACTGTAGAACTTCAGCCTTTTGTCAACACTTACTGTATATTGTACAGGAAGAGTTTATTTGAACTCACCGTGTCTGTGGCAGCAGCTGCTTTCATATGACGCTAGGTTTATCTTGTTCCCAAAGTGTCCTTGTCCTGATGTGAGATCCTCAAACCTCAGGCCAGCATTTCATTTATGAAAACAGAGCAGTTTGAAGAAGGGGATGTCCAAGGAAAGTGAAAGACATGCACTGAGCCACAGAGAGAGAGGTCACTTTATGACAGAGTAAGCAAATGCACAAAGAGAAAAGAGGACAGAAGGAAGAGAGGGAAAGGGAGAGAGAGGGAGGGAGATATTCTATTACATTAGTGGCACACTGTAGTCCTCTGCGCTAAGCTCCTTATAAAACGCTAACCTGATTTTTAGACCCAGAAATGAGAAGGGAAAAAGCCCCAGCTGCAACGGGGACAGATGTAGAGGAATTACAAATGATGCACTCTTTATATTTTGAGCGTCCAAATTATCATCAGACCTATTTGAACCCAGTGAGGAGTTGTGTTTTAGCACATAATTCTGATATTTGTAAAAAGTAAAAAATAAAAAAAATAAAGTGAGATGTTAAAACGTCCTTACAGTATAATGATCTATATTGTCCCCACAGGACAACATCCAGAGTTGGAAGCACTATCTAGGCCACCGGGCTCTTCTCAATCAGAAAAAAAGGAGATGGATGGAGAGGGAGGGATGTGAGTGGGTGCGGGGGGTCGATTGTGACATCCTCTATAAGACACAGGCTCCAACATCAGGCATGAAATTCAAAGGCAAACATACAATAAACTGGTGGTGCTTACAACACTGTAAGCATTATTGGAAAAATTAACAATCACACAGGCTTGTACAGTAAGAGCATAAAAAATCTTTATTAATTAAAATATGGCACCACATTATAAACACGTTCTGGATTAAAATTGGATGTTGTTGCAGTTGGTCATATGACAGGAAGGTATAAAAATTGAACTATATACTGTAACATTTCATAAGGTTTTTGTATGTTTTGTGTGGAAAATGTCTACGGTGGTCTCGTGGCATTGTCTGAGATCGTAGTCACAATAACCAATAGAAAATCTGCCCTGAAGGAAAAGAGGAGTCCAGACAAATTACAATCATACCATTACATTTAGAAACATTACAATATATATCTTACTTTTGGTCTCTTAAAGTAATCCAAGCCTCGACCTATCTTAATGATCCATCCATTGTCAAATCTGAAAACATATGATTATTATTAAATACATACTTATCTAGAGAAGAACAGGGCATGAACAGTACAAAAACAAAATAGAACATTATAACATGTTTCAACTTACCTGATCTCTCTGTCGTGTATAGTAGAAGAATAGTCCACATCAAGAGTGACGCCTAGGCTCACGAGGCTTTCTTCGATTTCAGCCAAGGCACTTGATTGTTGGCTATCATTCTAAAAATATAGGGTGTGTGTATATATATTTAAAAATATACCATTACGGTCATAAATTCCAAAACATACTTCCTCTTGTGAAGTTAGAAGGTGGATTCTTTTCACATTGCCCAAAGACTTGATGAGCATTTCACAGAATCTTAGAAAATTGTACAACTGTAGAAAAAACAAAAGTATTAAGAACAATTAAAGGGGGAGTGAGGGGAATAGCACAGTGTTACCTGGTGTGTGTGTCGTATGTATGGGTCTTCTACCCACACTTCTGTTAATGCACTACTGATGTAAGATCTAAAAAGAGTCTCATAGCTGTAACCAGTGGCATCCGCTGCTATCTTTATCTGCTCGTGGTATTTCCCATCTGGAATAAGAAAAGACAGATAGATGATTAAGTAGAAATAGATTTGTTTGTGCTAAATGTTGAGCAGTTTTTCTAACATTCACCTTCTTTCAGTTTATTAATGTGACATTTGATTTGCTCTGCTCTGTCCATGTAACCCTTTATCTTCTCTCTGTAGTGTCCTCTTTTTGACTCTTCTTTCACCGCTGCAGTAAACACGTGTTATGCTTGTTTGTTGTTTAATGTTCTTCAGGGATTTTATTTCTAGCGTTTTATATGATGTAATTACCTTTTAATACGTCCATCAGCAGCTGAATTCCTTCTTGGTAACACACCAGAGACTCCTGAAAGCGCCCACTCTGGTCCAGCTCCACCGCCCGCTTCAGAAGAGACACCGCAGAGGCTTCCATACCTGACATGTGATTATTCGACATGTTTTTGGCAAAGAACTTTATTATTTAGCCACAAAACTTGTAGATTAACCCCATGTCCCACGCTGAACCTAGGCTATTACTTCCTGATACAGGCAAATGACAGTGTCACACAAAAATAACTCCGGGAAAGCATGTCTGCCGTCACCCAGTCATCATATTTACAAAATGTATGTACAAAGAAATTACAAAAAGGGATAACATACAAAATAACATCACATTATATTTAGGACGAGATATAAACATTGGGCGGAACCATTGTTTTATCTTATGTTCCATACCGGTAAATTTGGAACGTGACACTCAGTAACACAATCCTTCATGACGAAAAGAAGACAGTATATTTATAAGTTTTAGTGGGATTTATTTGCCCAAATACATTAACCGACAAATCCATGTTTTAATTTTCTTTTTTTGCGTTAATACCGTCTAATCTTAATTTAGTCTTGTTAATCATAACCTTGGACACACGTTCACTGAGCTAACGCTATGACCTGGGTCTGTAAGGGTTTGCGGTCCGTGTCCAGCAATTTGAACAAGGTAAAGAAGATTTGCATTATTAAGGTTAAATGATATTGATTTCATATTTAAGTTTAGTGTCTGGGTATTGACAGAATGTTAGCTGTCATTCACTTGGCTAAGGAGTAGGTGGCTAAAACTACTGCTTTGAATAACAAGTGATAATTACATAAAATCATCATATTGCCACATTGCGCAGCCCACGTACAGGTATATTCTAAACACTGGAGGTGAAAAGAATTTAAAGTACAATGGTGTTATATTTTCTCACTGCCTTTTCAGATCGCAGGGACACATCATTTGCCATGTTTAGTTTCAGCACGAGGAAAATTTACAAAATCAAGAATTCCTCAAGAGGTACTGTTCAATCATAATTACTGTGTTTATGTAATGCTCCAACATACAACTTGTCTATTACAGATGTAACTATATTGTATTCTTTGTTCTGTTTCCTTCTTTCAGATTTTCGCGGAGAGGTCAAAAGAGCATGAAAAATATGGGGGTAACCCAGAGCAACCTCATAAGTTACATATTGTGACGCGTGTCAGAAGTACCATTCGGCGGCCATACTGGGAAAAAGAAATGATCAAGAATTTTGGGCTGCAAAAGGTATTCAAAATTGTAAACATGAGCTTAATTAATAATTTTCATATATTAATTTACATGAACCTTAGTCATTTGCATCAGACATATTTGTACCCTCTTCAAAGCACTTGCTTGTGTTTAGATGGGCAAGACACTTCGAAAATGTCTCACAAGAAGGCCCTAGGTCTGACTGCCTGGTGGTGCAAAGCCTTTTTGTGTGGAGTTTGGCGGTTTCCCCCTTCCTCAAGGGGCAAGGGCTCTCCTAAAAGAGCTTTTCTGAAATCTAAATAGAACAGCACATTGGGGCATGTTAGTGATTTTGGAGATAGTCAATGTAATCAATACTTTTGGCCTCATTGAAACTGATATTTTACTATCAATTTGTGCTATTTTCTTATCACAAAAATCAGTCACAGATATGACACATTGGGTGTTGCTTCAATTTGATCATCTTCAATTTTTGATGTAATCTTATTAATATACAAAATATGAGGATTGAGTGTATTTAAAATGAAATATACCATGGTCTGAGAATTGTAAATCTAGAATAAATTGCTTTTGGGTAGTCTGCACTGGGTCTAAAGCGTCCCCCAGAGTACACCTCTTTTTATTGGGATTCAGGCCTCCAGGGGTAAATTCTGCTTGCAAATACTAAAGCATTTTTATAGTAGTCAGGGAGCCATAGTTATTCAAATAATTATATCAAGTTTGGTGAAAAATGGTGACTGTATGATTCCCAATGGATAAAATATACTAATTAAACTACTACCCTAAACTTTTCACAGTGCCGTATAATGACATACGTAGTAATAATTTATTTGTTGAACAAACCCTCAACAAAATGTCCAGAAAATCACATTTTTGTTACGTTTTGACCTATAATACATCCATGGTTTGGACACCCACCTCATAACCGTACAGCCGTAAATCTCCACCACAGAAATAACAAATTGGAGGAATTAACAATTACTAGTGCCAGATTCTAAAAATGACCATTTGGTTGGACCAGGGTATGGGTTTCTCTAAATATTTCTCCACTGTTTCGTAGATGCACGCTCCTGTAATCCATAAAAACACCCCTGCGGTTAATAGTCAGCTGAAATACATTAAGCATCTTGTCAGGTAAGATTCAGTGAAACGTGTATGATTATTATTATCCACTTTATTTAAATGTTTGTTTCATTTCCTGGCACATCTTCATTAAGAATACAACCACTAAAGATGCCTTTTGGACTGCCCGCTGAACAGGACATGGCAGAGACATACATCAACGTTAACGGAGAGCTGATAGTGAAGCGTCTGCTGCAGCCAGTTGAGACCAAGGCTGTGGAATCATAGCTGTTTGACGTTGTTGTAAATAGAACATGATTATTCTGAAGTAATAAACTTCATAATTTCAAGGTGTTGTAACTTGAAGCTGTTTAATATACCTGTAAAATAAACCATATGCAACTTTTTGGAAGTATCTGCAAGTAAATAGTTAACGATGCTGCATTATTTAAGTGATGAAACGTCAACTTATTTTTGTTAAGCAACTGAGTCACCACAGCAGTTGTCTGAGAACTTTACACAGGTGGTTGAACAAGTGACTCAACTCAAAACAATGACCTCTAAATTGTGAATAAAATGAGCTGAATCTTAAGAATAAGAATTTGGAACATAATAAATTTAACTATGTAGTCAAATAAATTACAGGAGACGAGGTGTAAAAAAGGCAAAATGGTAACCAGCATGTTGGCTCATTGACAGGATTGGATGAATAAAGATGTATCTAATGTGATACACGCCGTGGGATCAGTCGGAGTCTGAATCTGAGTCATATCCTCGTCCTCTGATGGTCTTCTTTTCTACTTTTTTAGTAGCTGATTTTTTACTCTGTGTCGGAGGCTCCATCAAGTTTCCACTGTTAAAAGTCACAAAAAGACACAATTACATGTAGAGAATAATTGCTTTTTTCTATGCATCAAATCTTTTTACCTGTAATTGATGACATCGGCACAACCCAGTCTCCACTCCAGCAGCTCTGTGGAAAACTCGTCTGTATTTCCCAGATCAGAAAACCCAACCACATAGTCCTTTGTTTTTCCATCGATCAGCAAAGCCAACGTAGGGATGACTTTGACACGAAGCCTCTCTGTCAGAAACGGTGCTTTCTCCGCATTCAATTTAAGAAATTTGGTCTCCATGTGCTTTTTAGCCAAGATTGATAGGTGTTTGTCAAGGATCTTACATCTGTGAGAGAGAAATTGTTGCATTTAACTGAACTGAAACATGCATTCTATTGTATTTTACTCACCTGAAAGTAGAGTCTCTATAAAAATGGCAGACCACTTTTTTGCTATCTTTAACCTCACTGAAAAAGTCTTTCTCGCTTGGGATTTCTTTGTATTCCCCGTGACCTTTTGATAACCACTCCTTAAATACAGAAAAATGACAATGTTACTTTAAATTGTAATTAATACTGAAAGCACAGTCTTTTCATATATGTGCAGATTGAAATATAAATGTGAAAATAGGACATAAGTACGTATCTATATGGGGAAGGGAATTTGCCATTTATATTCAGGCAATAATATGTCAAACATAAACAAATGTGCTGAAGCATCTAGAATTTGCAGTGGTTGAAGGATCAGTCAAATAAAAAATTAAAATTGCACTCTCTTATAATTTGTATTAACAAGTTTATAATTTCAATGCAAATATTCAAAGTAATTCTCTTCCCATCCGTGTCAAAATTTTGGAACGTTTGGATAATCAACTATGAATGACAATGACTGACAAGTATGACAATTTGATACAAGTAAGTAAACACTAACCTGCTTCTGTTTCTGGGCTTTTTTGAGCGCCTCCAGCCTCTTTTGTTTAAGCCTTTCTAAATCATCCTCCTCCATCTCACTCAGTTTATTCAGCTCTGCATCCACCTGCTCCTCCACCTTCTCCAGAACCTTTGTTATCGCATCCATTGGTTGAAAAGCCATGGCAGAATGATCTCAGGTAATCTAACAAAGGGGAAATCATTTAAAAAAAGATATTGTTAAAAATAAAATAATAACTAGTTTCAATAGCTGCCTTCCTGGACATGTTTCAAACTACTACGATAATCTAAACCGGCAGTTGTTTATAAATGTTATTTTTGGACAATATAATGTATTATTATATGACTTGGACCGTACGCGCGCTCTGATTGGTTGATTTGCGGTCTGATATTTTCCCATCTCGGACCGTTACCATGACAATTGGTCCGCAGCGCGTATCACACTAAAAACACGATAAGGAAAACCAAGTCGGACATGAACGTACTTCACAAATATCTCAAAAGCATTGGTAAAGACACAGACGAGAGTCATATATATTAAAAAAATTGTTAACCTTGCTTGCTCGGTTAATAAGCCGTTAATATTTGACTCAATAATATATTTGATTAAAACCTCACATTTCGTCTGTGTAGTTGTTTAGATGAGCAAGACACTTAACCCACTATGCCTGCGTATGTGTCTCAAACTGAAATTTCCCCATTGTGGTACGAATAAAGGACCTGCTTCATAGATCTTACGTCAGTGTCACAGGGCGTGCGTCATTAGCTACAGACAAAGCTTAGCCTTAGCAACCAGCGGCTACGCCTTGTACACTACTTTATTAAAGAAAAGACACGTTTACAGATATTTGTAACATTTCATACACATAAACACAATACACACGGCTGTTAGCCTATTATGACGTTAATCAAAGTTAGATTAGTTTACTTGCTTGTGTTTAGCTTGCTAGCCATAGTTAGCAAATGGGCCGCTAACCAACAGCATCACACTGTTGTCAACAAAGCGCGCTTAAATGTGTTTTAATAAAATGCCATTTACAGTCTATTTCAACACAACAAACATGCATTGAGCCCGCGTCAACTTACCAAAGGGAGACAACAGAAGCAATAAAAGATGTAAGAGCGCCACTCATCCGATCCATGCACTCATATGATGCACGAGAAATCACCCGGAAGTTGTTTCTGATCGAAAAAAGGTGATATTTTTTAAATAATGCGTTTGTGTATAATTTGTAAATAAAATGTGCATTAAATACACGTTCGATATTTTCACAAATTTGTTCAGTATTGATGGGGCAGATTGGCTGAAGTGCATGCCAACCTGCGCCACTGGCCTTGAGTGAGAGTGAGACAGACAGACAGAGTGTCTTGTCTAGCAACACAATGGCAAGAATAAAACTTTGACAGTGCACTCAATAACACAGTAGAGTTTATTTACAAAGACTTAAAAAAATGTACAAATGTTCACAGCTTCAGGTCTTCAGGCACCAGCCAGTAACAAAATGGCAAGACAGCTTTACTAATTTGTGGCCGTTCTATTTGAAACGTAATAGTAACAAAACATTTGAGGCAGTTTTGCACATTCTCATTTACATTCGTGAAACATTTTCTCTGCTTTGTGTGCAGTTAGTTTGCCTTCTGACTTTTAAAACAAATATTGATGAAAAAGTAGTCTTAATTCCAAAATCCGACATATTTAATATCAAGAGTATAAAATTCGAATGCAAATGCTAAAGATCATGAAAGGACATCAGAATTATTTGCTGAAATAAAATGCATAGGCTAATAGTAATTATTGATTGCCATAGCCCCTCTAAAAAGGTTTAGCTCGACACTGCTAATAAATATGACTATTTAAACCTTAGTGAATGAAGCACTTTGGCCAACTTCTGGCTTCCACTGAAATAAGTGAAAACGTTTAGAAATGCAAAGACAGTTACTAAGAATCCACTACGTGCAGAGCTGCAAAACAGGACTTAAAACATTTATGTTTGTACATTATTTACAGAGTTTGGCACTTTGTATAAAAGACATATGACCTCCTGACGCCTTGATGCTTTTTTGACTCAGTAGTAAAAGTTAATACTGTAAAAACATGTCCACTGGAACTTGTTTTTTTCTTTTTTTCCACAACAGTTATTGAATCACTAAAAATTGTTTAAACTGCATACAATCTTCAGAGATGAACAAACAAGATGGGAATGTACAGTGCACACAGTACAAAACTGGCAAACGGAACAATTTCTGCCATTTCAGAGAACTAAAAGTAAAAATCTGTTGGACTCAAGATTGCACTTTAAAAAAGACGAATATTGTAGAAAATGCATTTTGCGCAAACGCTCATTCGCTTTACATTTCCATTCATGTATTGACTCTGGAGGGATTTCTCTTTCGCACTGGCCTCTTGTAGCCACTGGTTTGTGAAGTATTGATTAAATGGCAATTGGTCAGTAGCGGAACCCATGAATAGCACCCTTTTCTGAGCAAAATGTACTTAACCCTAGTCAGTCTGGTGGAGAGGAAGTCCACATAAGAGACTGTGGGCTTCGATCCCTCTTTCTCTACACCAACTTGAGAGTGCTTCCGTACGTTTGCTGCATCATGACTTGAACGTTGTCTACGATGAAGTCAAAAGCCATGCTCCAGACAGACTCCATCGACAGCTTCATATGCCTGATACATGTGTTGATTAAAAAGAGATCAGCATTCTCAAAAACAAAGAATAGAAGGGTAAAAACATACCTTTTCATGTATTTTATGACCAAATCCAACTTCTCCAAATCTTTGTCCTCAATTAGATCAGTACAGTATTTCACAACTTGAAATATGTCCTCCTCCATGGGTTCTAATAAAAAGAAAAAAACAAGAAAATAAATCCATTCCAATGTGTTATGGCTCAACTTCAAATTACTTTGTGTGTTTTTTAACCTGTGATTGTTGTGGCCCATTCCCGTAGTAGTGTTTTGATGTCCGTCCATTCAGAGGCACCAGCCAATGTGGGAGGAGCTCGAGACAGACTTGTAATCTCTGGTATGTCTTGTTTGGACGAAATATTTTCAGGCTAAAAGAAAAAGTTAGCTTGTTATCAATAGTATGTATAAAGATACGTGATGTTTTATTTATCTTACCATGAGCTTGTCAACCGGTTCTCCCCGTTTTATGGGAGAAGGAAGTATTTTAGCCGGACTGTTGTTCGAAGGTCGTTTCTTGACGGGGGAAGGACCGTTTTTAGCTGGACTCGTGTTGTTCTTCCTCTTGTATTGTCTCTTAACACGAACTGGGCCGACTCCTGTCCGCTTTAGCTGCAGCAGGGGGTTTTTCATCTCAGCTGCAGAAGGTCATACAAAAGTACTTAATAAGAGGGAATTAAAAATATGCCAATGAAACGCATTTCAACTCACATGCTGGATCTTTATGATTGATGGTACGACTGTAGGAGGACTTGATCTCGTCCTGCAGCTCTTTGGGAAGAGCGGCAAAGACCTCAGGGTCAATCTTCGAAGAAAGTACAGGATGAGTTGTGAAAAAGATTTCAGCTATTGACAAAAAAAGCAATTTTCAAAAGACCTGCCCACCTGTGAGAAATTGGGTAATTCCAAAACAATTCCAGGGTTTTCAGGTTGATTGGGTATTTGTAGTATTAGTTTTCTAGCAAGTGGAGAGGTTTTTGCAGAGTCGCCTGGAGGAGGATGAGATGGAGAATGGGTCCTCGGAAACGAAGGCTGTTGATGTGGAGAAACTTTGTCATTCAATTTCTCCTCTAGATAAGTCCATGATTGTTCCACTTGTTCCCGAAGTTCTGTTGGCAACGCTTCCAATACAGAGTGATCCACCTGTCAGTGTACACAGAAATTATGAGTACAGGACATTCATGGTTAGGTTTAGGTTATTGAAACATGACGCCATACCTGGGAAGGAGGGGGAACTTCAATGCTCACTCTCAGGCGTGGCTGAGGATGGGTTAGGATTTTACAACTTTTCCCTTTGCTCGTTTCAGGAAAAGACTCCACAGAAGGTATGGGAGTTACAGAAGAGTCTGGAATTAGTGTTGCATTTTCACTTGCAGCATCTAAACAGAAGTATAAATAAATGTACATTAATAGTAGTAATGCATGGATGGATGTATTAATAGTAGTATTATTTAATCCACTCAAAGGGACCCCTCCATTACCTGCTTTGGGACATTGTGTTTGAAGTCCCTGCCGTGCAAACAAGTCTTTGATGGAGCGTGTGTTATTCTCTGCAGTCCCAGAGTAGCCGTTAATTCCTTCGAGTACTTGGACCTGGATTCCCACTCCTCTCAGATCTTGGACCTGCAATTTCATTGAGTGGAAAAGCTTGATGACAGCCGTCGCAATGAGCTGACCACTGTCTGTAGACTGAGAGAACATCACAGTCCTGTAGATCACAAAACATGGATGTCATTAATACAAAGCAAAGGCCCCGATGTGATGTGCTGGGGTTGACCTGCCTTGCCACGTTGTCGCAGATGCCATGACCTCCGTATTTAGCAGGCTCTATGGGAGCCCCCATTTTGCGAATCATGACTTTTAGTGTTACTCTGCGGCCCCGAAGCCCCGCTGCTTTTAATCGTTTTTGAACTTCCATGGATAAATTTGTAAGAAAAGACTCTGTCTCATCAATCTGTGGTTACAAAGAGAGTATACTTCATGTTAAGTATACAATATTAGAATACAATATAACATACGCTGAGACATACCCTGGTGAAGCGGATGTTATAGTTCATTTCAGCCGACACAGACTTGCGTTCCTTTTCATAACGAACAGGTCGGTCGTCCAGGCCTCGGCAAAAACTGAAAAGTGTTTGGCCAGTTCTCGGTCCAAACCTCTTTTGAAGAACCGCCATAGACACCTGCTGAAGATCTCCACAAGACCTGACTCCTACTGCAGCAAGCTTTTTGCCCATAGCAGGACCAACACCTAGAACAAAGTACCCTTATAAAATACAGTACAGTGATATTGAAATACAAATAAAGTGTTGTACCTGGTAAGCTAGTTACTGCTAAATCCTTGATGAAATCGTCTACTTCTTCAGATTTCAGAAAATATTGTCCATTAGGCTTGGCTCTACGTGTTGCCAGTCTCGCTAGCAGAATATTGGAACCTTAATGCAGAGGGAGTGGAAGAGTAAATATGTAGCTCAAATGAACAATGGGTAAATACAAAACATCAATACCCATTCCAACTGATGCGCAACACCCCGTCTTCTGCTCGATATCAGCTCTTATAGCACTGGCCAGATCATGAGGACTTATCTCCAGGTCTTTGATCAAAGAGGTAGCATCTATTAAGACCTCATCACAGCTTAAAGCCTCTATGTCTTGAGTATAACTGGAGAACAAGAAGAACAAGTTTATCTAATATTTACTTATGGTCCATACACTTTAAATTTACTTTTTCTTTACCTAAGATTATTCTTACCTTGCTAAAGTCTCATACATTGTGAGAGCCACTTGTTTATAGGCTTCAAAGTCATAAGGGACAGATTGCAACGATGGACACAACTGTTTGGCTTTGCCAAAAAACATTCCATTCTTTACACCTGCCTGCCTGTTTATAGAGAAAGGGGAACATAGTCATTATAGTAAATATAAATTATATTAATTTATTAAGCATAAATTATAGCTTGTTTTAGTTTACCTTGCCTCATAACTACAGGATGCTATCTCTGCCATAGAGAGAGTAGAAGCATCCTGTTTGACACTATTGATATGCAAGTCAGGCCTCTCGTGAGAAGGAGGTCTGTGTAGATCCTCCTCTGTTAAGATAAACACACACAAATGTGATGTAATGCTTCACAGATGTTTAACATAAAACTATTTATGGAAAACTCACCGTGTTGAATGTGACTGTGTTTGCCTTCATAGAGTTTCTTTTCCAGCTGGGGGTTGGTGCCAGGCCGAACGGGCACTCTGCCCTGTCCCTGATTACTGGTCACAGCTACAGGCTTGCCTGCCAGTGATATTATAATTGTGAATAATATTACATAATATATAATTATATATACGTGGGCTAAGTACTAGTTAGAAACTTGCCTTTTAGTTCTGGACGATGGCGTATTCCAACAGACACAAAAAAGCAATCCATGTCAACATGAAATATACACGACTTAACGGTTACAGGTGAATCTGAAAACAAATGTAATATGTATTATAATATTCAAATATGGAACAATGTGAGAATAATTAGCCCATGTATCTACCTTGGCGAGCATAACTGCCTTGGTTTTTTATTTTCCTAAGGAAATCTGTTCCAGGAAATGAAGGAGTACCTGATGTTCTTCTTTTACAGTGAAGCTCATTGACGTATTCTGAAAAGGCAGTTCTCCATGTGGAGATCTGGTGTAAACGTGAATGAGAGTAGTACTCTGAAATCAGCTGATCTGTTTGAGCCTGTAACTGAGAGGAGGACTTGCACAATGTATGCTCAGTAGAGTTGCTTTTGTTGTTTAAGGAGCTGTCAGAAATATTGTGGTAACTTCCATTCATGCGAGATTCACTAATGGCACTGGTCTCAGGCTCTTCTGAAGAACAAGTCACTTTTATAGCTTTGGGGTTGTCCTTACTTACAGAGTCAACGCAAAGCCCATCTTTCTCTTTTTCAGATGAACTTTCAGGACTCTGAGGGAAATCATAGGGGTCTAATTTTAAATGGGGACTTGTTTGATGGTTGCAATCTGGATCTCTGCTGTTGCTTCCACACAAGTCCAAGTCAGAGGGCTCATTCACAGAGGAGGGATCCTTTGGTCTTAAGGCACCGTTTGTGAGGAGTGCATGAGGAACTTCCGCTAACAACAAAGAATCCTCAATTGCAGCCTTGGATGAATGGTTCGTGTGGGGATCTGTTTTCATATGTCCATTTCTGTAAATAACATTTTTAAAACAAAAAATTCAAGAATAAATAAAACCTGACAATTACAATCTTATGTGCAAAAAGGAAATTCTATACACAAAACTTACATTTTCACTTCGATACCATTCTGACATCTGAGCGAGTTCTGAGGTTGTGGATGGCAATTTCTCTTGTCCTGAGAACTGGACCTAAACTGAGGTTGTAAACAGTCTTGGTTTTTGGCATAATTAGGGTCGACGTTTTTGTGAGAAGTATCTAGAGACTGATGACAGACAGTTGGTTGAGGTAGCGCTTGGAAAGGATCAACAATATTTGAATCTTGATGAACACGTATCGCTGTAAAAAGAACACCTTTGCCTTTAGCATAGAGTTGGTACTGGAGATGCGGAAGAAGTCGTCCAGCTTTGACACTAAAAATATATCAAACATACCATATTTGTTAGTGAAAAATTAAATAATCTTTAGTTCACCACATCAGTAAAACTGAGCACACCTGTCGGTGATCCACTCGGGTCGAATAACCTTTTCCCCTTTCAGATCCTGAATCTTACTATTGGGCAAATTATTTGCAATAATGTGAGTTGTTTTAGAGCGACTGTAGTAACCATGGAATTGACCACCGTGCAGCATCATCAGCCTGCGCAACTCATCTGCACTGGGAACTGTCAAAAAATACATTTATTTATTAGTAAATAATTGAGAGTGACTACATTAAATAAACAATCTATAACTTAAAAAACTTAACTTATACCTGTGTATCCATTAACAAAGATTGCAATGCCCCTAAAAATAGTCGAAGATGTGCCTTCTTTTTGTTTTTCTCTGGGGGCAGCAAGTTTGAACTGTTCATCCAGCTTGGCAACTTTGGCTGCCATATAGCCACCCTGTAAGTGAAAGAAATGTGAGCACATGCCTCATTCTGCAGTGTTTGCATTCGCCAGGAGTAATAGAGTAAAAATACCCAGGCAGACTCACCCTTGCAGCCCAGCCATTGTCATCACTTGCATGAGATTTCTTCTTCATCCATCCCTCTCGACTCATACTGAGCGCCCTGCACGAACAACACCCCTTTAAGTGTTGAAACATTGCAAACTTTTGCACACAAGACAATTGTTCAGACCAGTTTAAATCCTTGGGCAAACTTCAGCGCGACAAGTGTCTCCAGACGGTAGTTTGTTTACAGTGACATGTAGTGAACAGCAGCAGTGTGCAGCGGGAGCAGCCAAGGACATGCCCGGGCAAATGGCACCGACCCTAAGTTTGATGCAGGCGCTAAATGCAAACATTACAGACTACTTGAGGCATGTCTGTGGAGACATGCTGTGCCACCACGACACTACTGCCATAACAACATCACACTGGGAGCAGGCGGAATACAGATGGTAGAGCACTGCATTGACTCGGCGGGCTCTAGCATGTCAAACTCTGACTTTTCATGTGACCGTGGGGTTCGGGTCGATCTTTGACTCTCCTGACATTACTCAGTGTTGTTCAACATTACCTTTATAGTATGAATCGCCTCTCGTTGGCCACAGACTTCTTTCTGCAGATATAATCCAAATGTACGATGATTAAACGAAGTAACCCAAGCCCTCCGGACTGTTAACTCGACCTCTCAACCTTTGTTTTAGTGGCGACAAATCCACTTTCAGTGAACTGAAGTGCCCTTATTCTGTCACGCTGCCACGCCATGTCTTCCCAGTATTTTCGTCTACCTCCTCAGCCCTAAGCTTTCGACCGCCCGATTTGGTGCTTTCCTTTTCTCCACAGTCTATGGTCATGCCACACTATTCAAAAGCGCATACGTTCACGGAATTTTCAAATTAAAACATTTTAGTTTTTATTAAATCTACTGGTTTGCTAATAAAGGAACACCAACAAGAGTAGGGCACACTTCTGGTGACAATTTGTATGCAAGTATCACTGCTAATTTGTGAAATTTTCCAAAAGTAAACAACAATACCGTTTGTACAAACACTTGTTTTGTAGTAATGCTCTGTGTACTTCCGGCCACGTTGTGCGTGTGTCGCTCAGCTTGACACGTGCTGTGGCTCTGCTGGTTTCCTCCGCATGCTCTCATTGTAGTGCTGCCACTGTGCGGTGAACAGGTGCATGTCACCTCAGCTGACTGGGTCATGTCAGGCGCATGACTTTTCTTCATCTTTCGGGCAGATGCAGTTTTAGAACACACCCGTGGGTAGATCGTTGTGTCAAACTGTTTAACAAACCTATGTTCACTTTGGTTCACACAAGGCATTGTTCTGTCTCACATTTGAATGAATGTTCAGCTTTACCCTGTGTCGACAGTGTACATGATGTATATGATGCAGATGTGGAGATGAGGAGAACAGCCCCTAGTGCTGTGAACGTGTCCTCAAGCAGCCTGGCGTCGTCACGCGGCCACTTACGGCCGTGACGCAGAGGCACGTGGGCTGGAAAAGCACTGACTGTAACCAGCGCTTATATCTATGCTACATATCTAATCCATGTGATTCAAAAGCCAGAATGTCACGCTCTGTGCAACAATCCTATGCCAGGCGAACACGTTTCAATCCCAATCGACCATGAGAGCTGTTATCCAGGTTGTTCTCTGTTGCTATGGCACCAGACGGTGGATGCTGATGTTCCACCTTTCCCTCTTGGTGATGCAGGAGGAACAGAAGAGGGAAGCACAATCACGGAAAATGAGCTCACATAGACTAGGAATATACATGCTATATTGTATTGAATAGAATGTAGGTCTTTAGATTAAGCAGACAGTAATTCATTTAACACCATCCTCCTTTTTTATAAGTCTTTATCAATAAATAATAAGTTACAATAAAACCTTCCAATATTTTTTTATTACAGTGTGAATGTAGGTTCAATTAAAGTACATTTTACACCACTTCAAATTCAATTGAAATATACAATAAAAAAAAACAAAATAAACCAAACACAGAAAAGAATATGCTCCCTTAGAAAGAGAAATAAAAAATAAACTCATTCTTGGAGTTGTTCAGACATATTATGTGCGTGAAAGCACACTAACATCCTATGAGGATGACAGGCAACATACCTCGAACAGCACAATAGCGCCTCAGTTATAGAAATATTCTGCACGGTTGGTGCAAATGTTTTTAGTTGAGTTTGGCACTAATGCGTATCCACTGAAGAGCTTGCCTGGTGTACTGCACAGCGTGAGCAATGCTGCTGTGGAGCGTCAGTGGGCCAGATAAGGTGTTCAAGTAGTTGAAGAACTCTGGAATCAACAAGTAAAGTTAATCTTCAACATGCATATATTTCCTCTAATTTCAAGTATTTATAATTCTCGTATGCTTTATATACCTATATTCTCCTTTGCAAGGTTGTCTGCTACCTCCCAGTACTCATAACTGTACAATACACTATTGGTAATGTTCAAGTGGTTTGCTGCCATCTGGTGGATTCTATGGGGAATGTTGATGAATGAGGATGACGTGTTTCCCACATGTGAACTCCAGCTGCTGTTTTTGGCATTAGGAGACAATGAGTGCCCTCCAGGGCTCCTGAGACAATACAATACAACATAGAAATATAAAGCAGTGCATAATCAAATTAAATACAACTTTGCATTGACCTACTTTCCAGAATGATTCCAACAAGGACCACTAGTAGGCACTTTAGAAGAAGTCTGTCAAAACCAAAACAATCTTTTTAGGACACCATCAATACCTGATAACACAAATACAATCAAGTCGTTCTTGTTTTGTATTGGCATATACCTTGAAATAGTCAAGCAAAACTTTAGAATATTTCAGTGCATGGTCCTTTTTTAAGCGAAACATCTGCCAGTAAAGAAGGGCAAGGCTTCGGAAACTGCAGGGACAAACTTTGTCAGTGAGAGACATGATGAGGTTTTACTACGTGTGTATACAAACCATAGGACGGCCAGTTGTTTGTCTTCTTGCCTCGCTGCAGGGCCTGAGTGGCTCTTCAGTCTCATTGCATACCTTTAACCAAATGGATATTAACATGATACAATATGAACATATTGTAGAGCCATGCAAGGAACAAGAGAGGAAAAACCACCTTATAAGTTCAACAGTCTCAGCATACATTGTATAGGGAGACTTTGCTTCAAGTGGACCTTGTTCCATTGCCTTTCCACATTCCATAAAAGACAACGCAGCGTCGACGTAATTTACTGCCTTTCCAAGTTTATCAACCTGAAAGAGGTTACAACAACATACGTTTATGTCAAAGCATTAATACAGACTGTAAAAGATACAGCACACCAAGCCAGTCACTTCTGGCAGCAAAATGTAAAATGAAACTCCTGTTCAGTTAAACCAGCATGCGGCCAAAAACAATGTGCAATCTAAACCCCAAAAGAAACCTGTGAGTTTATATGTTAGTATACAGTTTATATGTTAGTATACAGTCTATATGTTAGTATACAGTTTATATGTTATTATACAGTGTATATGTTAGTATACAGTTCATATGTTAGTATACAGTTTATATGTTAGTATACAGTTTATATGTTAGTATACAGTTCATATGTTAGTATACAGTTAATATGTTAGTATACAGTTTATATGTTAGTATACAGTCTATATGTTAGTATACAGTTTATATGTTAGTATACAGTTCATATGTTAGTATACAGTTTATATGTTAGTATACAGTTTATATGTTAGTATACAGTTCATATGTTAGTATACAGTTTATATGGTAGTATACAGTTTATATGTTAGTATACAGTCTATATGTTAGTATACAGTTCATATGTTAGTATACAGTTTATATGTTAGTATACAGTCTATATGTTAGTATACACTTTATATGTTAGTATACAGTCTATATGTTAGTATACAGTTTATATGTTAGTATACAGTCTATATGTTAGTGTACAGTCTATATGTTAGTGTACAGTCTATATATTAGTATACAGTTGCAGTTCATATTTCAGCAAGTACTGAAATTGCACCTAATTAGTATTATTTAAATTAGTAAAATATAAACATTAAAAAACGTTGTTTAAAATTCAACGTATGATATTATGTTCTCTTGTGTACACTTTTCCATGTGCATTCCCCTTATTCCAAATGAATAATCAACAACAACTGTTAAATAAGAGCACATTCAAAACATATAGTTTAGTTTTGACCAGCTTCTGGTAAACCTGCTGCTGCTCAGTCCCTTGATGAATCTCACATTTTATTTCACTTCAGTTTTCTTCTTGAAAATCAATAATTACTTATACTTAACAATTGTTATGTATAGATTTAGAATTACTAAATTAAAATCTGGCCATATAATTCTATACTTAAACAATTCACACAGTTACTAACCATTGCATCAGCTCTGTGCTTCATCCTTTTAGCTTCATGTAGGTAGTACTCTGCATGGTGTTGACTGTAAAACACAAACAATATTATAGATAAAACCACACTAAGACCTCTCATTAGACCTGTTCAAATGGTCTCACGTTTCCGGAAGCGTCACGGCCCCTCTGTGTCCTGATGGGCCCCAGGATTCAGGCGCTGGTTTTGTGCCTTGAGAACATTTATGCGATTCCACCTCCATCTTTGGCTGAATTCACAAGAAATATACAACAAAATGAGCTGTACGTCTCTGTATTGACACTCCACCACTTCAATAGTTTTACTTTGACAGCCGCATCTCTGTTCTTGTCCCTGTTCTTCTCAGATGTCTTCTGGATTGTACGAGAGCCAGATTTAATAAACCCAGGACTGTCAGGTAATGGTGACAACGGCCTTTTACTCTCCAAATACTCTTCAACAGGCCTGTGAGTTTACAGTTCCATTAATAAATACAATTATCATACATTTTCAATCATTTTGTTTCATTGTATTACCCACTGTGTGTAGTTTCAGTAAAAATGCGATTGTCATTTGCAGGACCTGAAGATTCCATTGTATCGGGTATACCCCTCTTTCTTTCTCTGTGTGGGACCCCATTCTCCATCTGAGTAAGATAAGATAAGATAGACTTTAATGATCTCACAATGGAGAAATTTGCATGTCACATTTTCACATTTGGCATAGATAGAATCACTCAGATTTGTGCAAAAGACAGAAGTGTGCAAACATGTTAGAGGTGTTTAGGATTTATTATGTACAATAAAAAGTGGCAATTAAAGAAACAGTGGCAATAGTAGTGCAGGTTTTTTAGTCCTAGTGCATTGGTGACTTAAAGTGACCTATTGTACAGACAAATATAATGTGATGTTGACTACTGTACTTATTCACACTTTCACAGAACATTGAAGTGAGCAATGAGTACCTTGCGTTTTCTCTTGCCATCCGGGACACACAGATGCCTCATAGTCTCGTGTTGTTTGTCCGAAGTAGCAGCAGAAAGGTGTAACGGAGGCTTTTTGGTAGTGGAAGTCTCAGTGCTGTCCGGAACCCTTTTCAGGAGACAGAGATTGATATGCACCACCAGATTTCCCAGTCCACGATGCGAGGGCGCGGCACTTTTCTCACGACGTCCAAAAGGAACTAAAGTATAGAGTTTTTGCCTGCACTCACTCTGCTGTTTCTCACACGGGATACCTATCTGAAGGGGTGCCGATCTCGCCCTAATGGCATCGGAGCGGCTTGGGTCTCGAGCCCGTCTCCGAACTGGTCTTTGGGAAGTTGAATCGGCTGGAACTTTTGTGATGGGAGCTTGGTATTCAGAGTCCCCACCTGAGGACCAGGTGGAGGAGGGCGATGGACTTGGGGGTGTTGGGGACCCACGTGGCAAGGTGCAGGCCTGTGTCTTCTTGGTCTTGTCTTTTTGTTCCTGAGGTCGAAGGGTGGGTGGTGCTGGCTCGACCTGGGCTGTGTGCCATCCGTGCTTCGAGTGCTGGTCTCTCTTGCGATGTTCCCGGTCTTCCTTTGTCCTTCTTTGGTCTTTTGACACTTCCTCTTCGTAGTCTTCCTCTGAGCTCAAAATCCAGGGACGTCTCAGTTGCTCTTCCGCCAGCCTCGAGCTTTCTCTTTTCTCCCTTTTGCCCTGTTGATTTTCTTCGATGCTACGCTTTTTTCTTTCGTGTTGCCTATTCACAACATCTACATGTTCCCTGCACTGTTCCTTGATCTCTGGTTTCTTCAGGGAGCTTTTTAAAACTAAAGCAGGATTAGGTGCTGGTTTTGCTTTGCAGTTTAAACCTAAGTTAGTAATAGACTGGGATTGAGAGCTGTGACCTGTTTTGTTGCTAGTCTCAAAGCCTGAGGGCCTAGTGTTGCAGTTGTTATGAGAGTTATGCTGAAATGAAGACTTGTGACTATATTTGACACTGTGGATTTGGCTTTGCTTGTATTTGGAAGTTTCAGAGACCTGTTTTGAGCCAGGAAAATAATTAGGTTTGGTTTTATTATTATAGTTAGAGTTTGTGTTATTCTTGGATCTACTCGAGTTTAGCTCAGGTGTGTGTTTAGATTTAAACCTAGATTTATGGAGCTGTTCCGTACTCGTTATGGACCTATTTTTATGTTCAGCATGAGACAAATGGTCTTTCCATGTTCTACTGTTTTTCACCTGAGTAGCTGGTCGCAGATGGCTATGAACGGCAGGATGCTGTTGATGACGTGTAGAGGGTAATGTGGGGCTGGGGCTCCGTGGAGGGTCTGGCAGTGGACTGAGGTGGCTGGCTCGAGAGCTTCCACATGGGCTTGGACAAACACTTAAAACTGGGCTAGGAACTGGACTTGGTCTTGGACTGGAAAGAGGACTGGTATCAGGGACAAGACTGGAGTAGCCAGGGCTTGGCGCAGGAGGACTGCTGGTTATTCTATAATTTAAGTGGGGAATTGAAATAGTACTTTGGCACGGGCTGTATTCTTGGTTGCTATCCCAGGACCTGGCCGGCGATGGGGCTCTTTGGGCGTCCGGAGAGGGCGGGTATCCAGGAATGTTCTCAGAAGGATCCTGTTCACCACTGGATGATTTCTTTCTGGCCTTTCTCCACCACTTGTCCAACGTCCACTGGGCTGTTGAAGGTTGGCCCCCCTTAAAAATCAAAGACATACAAAACAAACATTACTAACACACGTATGTCTATAATCTATGTGTATGAAGGAGTTTATTTTGAATGTCTTCTGGAATAAGTATGAAATAAACATGATGCATCAATGTATTCTAATATTTGTCATATAAAATGTTTTGAATAGACATGCTTGTGATTATTAATGATGGATTTTAGTAAGTTAAAGTTTATAGTTTAGGATTATGCTAGGACTCTGGTTACTCACTCATACTACTCTTGTCCAAGTTCACATCTGTGCTTACAACCCCCATCCAATTAAGTCAAATGACTCATGTAATGTTGACATAACATTCCACAGTGAGCAAGCCGAATAAAAGTAGAAAAGTACAATACTCACGTCCAGAAGTTGTATTCCACTGCCCCTCGACTTTGTCCTGAATGTCTTTCCTCTCTGGTTAGGGCTAAATTAAACCTCCACTTCCCAAGTCAAACAGAAAGTCCCACATCGATTGCTCTCTTTCCTGAGAGGACACTGTATCTCTTGTGCCATCGAGTCTGCCCTCCCTACTTCTCCTCTGTCCCTCCCTCTTTCTCTTGCTACCTGGAATTCTGTATATGCAGTCTTCGAAAAAACCTCCAACCCCCATCTCCTTCTTCAGAGACACTCCAACGCAAATGAAAAACACATGCTTTACACCCCACCCTTCCAACACGCATGCACACCTACCTCCGGGGGCCCAGGGTAGTTTGCATTTGCTCTCACTGTCCACTATGTACAGGGATTCCATTCATTGAGGTTTCCTTTCCATTGCCTGCATAAAGGCCCACTCCCATTATAAGTAACATGCTTCCTTATTGCAAACTAGCGATTTAATCATATTCTCTTTTTAATCATTGTAAAAGGTTTATTTATCATATAGCATTATGGTTATGTGAAACCTAACCTACATATTTTGTTATGTGGACCACTGTTAAATCTGCATTACTGCTAAAACATTATTATCTGAGGCACTGTATGTCTTTGTTTTGCCCACATTGTTACTACAGTATCTATATCTTTTCATTTGTTTATATCTCAAGCGTTGACATGTTCTTATGCACATTGTTACAAATCATACTAAAAGTCCTGTCTCCTTTTGTTCGATCTGGAGGGACTCGTAAATAAACCATCTACAGGTGCCGCTGCCTTGTCTTCATTTCTCGACACTCATTATGGTTTTATGGTTTAAAGTGCATATGACAGATCAGATGACACATTGTTAAATCTTAGTTGTGCTATGTTTAATAACCATATAATCTTGAAGCTTGGAATACTTTCTAATTAGGCTTTCCATTGTTTGACATGAGCAGCAGTTCTGGCATAACAATTTACGCAGTAGTTTTGACAAGTAGAAATACACATAATTTTGTCTCACAGAAAAGTGCAAAAATTGTCTCCGTGTTTTGCATGGAATTGTGTGGTTTTAAGGCTTAGTTGGAATCCTTTTTCACTCTGTTACTTGCTGTATATATTGAACTTTTCCGTTACACTGTAAACTGATCTATAAAACCATTACAGATATTTTCCATGGGTTCTGTCCCACCAAACAAAGCAATAACCAGGGAAGCTGTTGCTGTCTCGTGGTTGTGTTTTGTACCTCTTTGCTGCTGCAGGGGTCTTGTGCATTAGTGGGTGACACATTTGTAGGGCGAGCCTTTTGGCTGGATTGGTGGGAGTAAAAACTACTGCCGTTTGACTCAACGCTTGAGTTTGAGTCCGAGGAGTCCGAGCTGGAATGTCGCACCCTCCTGCCATGTGACTGGGCCGACCGGCTGTCCGTCAACACAAACAGAGGAGGGATGAGTGAAGCGTAGTGAGGGGAAACATGAGCTACATGCACAAGTGTAAAGAAGTCGGCTACCTGTGGCCTTCCCATGGTGCATCATGGTTCACCTACAAAACAAACACAAACAACGCTACTGTGATGCTTTTATGTTCAATAGTAAGTAAGTAGTTTAGTATGTAAGTAAGTCAGTATGTACAGTAAGTATTCTCCGGACTATAAGCCGCACCTGGCTATAGGCCGCAGGCCCTAATCTTTAGAAAGAAATTGATTTTTGTACCTGTACAAGACGCACCGGATTTTAAGCCACACTTATCCTACAATGTGATATGGAAAAATGTAGCTCAAAAATGTTCATCATGTCTTCTTTTTACTGTGACTAATAAGTGTAAGAAGTGAGTCACTGACTGTTCTCTTCCAGTGTGTATTGATTCACTTTCATGTCTATACAAAGAACCAAAAAACTATTTATTATATGAGATATTTACACAAAAATATTATAAGTGAGGACTGTTAAACTCTTAAATCTGCTTGATTGACAAATCTTGCATTTAATTGGACCTCTGTGAACTAAAAAAAGCCGTAGCCTTCAAAATGCAGGAAAAAAGCTGAGGCTTATAGTCTGGAATTTACAGTAGTTAAGGTTTATATAGCGCCATTTACAAACCGCAAACCACAAAGCACTTTCCATAAATGCCACAAAGTCAATTGAATATTAAGTGTCTAATCAAAACATAACATGACATAAGACACACAAAAGTCATACAGTATTAGCAATGAGACCTACAGTGTGTGAGTCCTCTTCATCACTGCTCAGCTTTAGGTCATCTGCAAGCATCCTGTAATGGGAATATATATATATTATAAAGGGCTAAATGAGGGGCGACAGTAGCTCAGTTGGTAGAGCATTGGCCTTAAGCCTAGAAGGTCGTGGGTTCAATTCCCACCTCTGCACCTTCTCCACCGACTCCCACTGATGACTGCTGTCGTTGTGTCCTTGGGCAAGACACTTAACCCCACTTTGCCCAAAGCCCCCACTGAAAGATCAAGGCTATGCTCACACTCAGAGAGCAGCCGTCCTCCTGTGGACTCACCACCTGCAGAGGGTCAGTGAGGGGCTGGTGCTATGAGACTTGGGTGGCATCTCTGATTGCCACCCCCCTGACCCAGAAATGGATTAAAGGGTAGAAAATGGATGGATGGATGGATGGAGGGCTAAATGAGATCTGATATTGTGATACAGGAATAGTTTATGTACTCCATGTTTAGGAAGTTCTACTGTGTCATTTCATTACATTACCTGAGGAGTAAGTAAAAGAGCATGTGTTTTGGATCAAAACAAGGACATAAAGAGCCTGACTGGGGCACAACAGTGACAGCTCACAAGAATGTTCACTGGCCTTTGACCTGCTCTGCACTCTGTAGCCTCAAGCCCCTAATTTCCTCCTTCCCTTTGTTGAGCCCTTTCTTAAAGCTGTATACATGTCTTATTTTATGCCTATGAACATTAGTTTTTGGTTGGCAAATGGTCCTGGGTCACTGGTTTCAGATGACATTTCCTCATTCACTTACGATTTGTGAGGGGCGACATGAGGGTGTCGGGTCATTCGCAGCTGGGTATCCCCTTGATGGCCTGCTGAAGAAAAGCAACCCGAAAATAAATGTGCTGCATTAAACTAATTTTACAATGTCCATATATCAGTACTCACATTGCCTTGGATGAGCAGCTGTTTGTGCAACATCCTTAAACAGAAGATAAAGAAAATGACTTTATACAGTCATTAACACACATTTACAACTGCCTCTACTTACCCTCGGTTTATAGTGGATCCGTGTATTCTCACCCCCAAACGCTTGTTGGGGGACCCAGGACTGAGTCATATCCTGTACCAAAGGGAAAATGTATATTAATTTTTTACATTTCTTGATATACAATAGTTATTTTATTACATTAATTTAGTTTTGTAATTTTGATGAGATCCTTTGATGCATTTTAAATGCATGAATGTGGTGCTTCTCCTCTCCACTCCACCAGAGGGAGTCATTCGAACACATGAACATTGATCCTATTGCTATAATGGGCAGCTTTAAAAGTTGTTGTAAGGGGTTGACAGGGTTGCTTTTATAATGTTACATTTTGCAGAGTAATACAAAAGAAAAGATGGACCATAAGTGACCTTTGACTGATTCAGGCCAGTGGTTCTCACAAAGTACTATTCCAAGTTCCACTACCAGATATCTGCTCTCCTACGTAACCCCGCATCTCCATCAGTTCTAAACTTACACAAAATTAGTTTTAAATAGATAGAACTACATTTATAGTAGTTATATAAACATAACCCAAAGGAGTATAATGTCTCAGAGAAAGTGAAATAGGCCGTGTGCGTGATCTCACCTGGTGGAGCTCGGGCTGTATATTTCGAATAGAGGATTAACGGTTCCCAGCTCGAGCCCGTTAGCCCCATGTCACTGCGTCTTTATGTTTCTCATTTCCTGTCTAAGAAGAAAATCTGTCAAAACAAAACCGTACAATTACATTAGAGTCATTTCGATTCACACTAATTATCTACTTTGAATCAACCTAGAGTTTATGACGAAGGTTAAATACAACTGGAGCATCCCTAAAACAATGCACCAACACCTGCAGCATGAAGTGTGCTGTATGCACGCAGGACTGGTACTAACCCCCCTCCCCTGTCCCAGGAGAGGGTGTTTCCTCCCTTTGCTTTGCATTAACCCAGTCACCAAGGACACAGCTGTACACTGTAGGCGAACCACTGTATGTGTCACCATCTCCTGTTATATCAAAGCATACTGACATTTTAAGACATGACAACTGTAATGGTTTAGAATGATGAAAAACATTTGACAGTAATGATTGGCTGTTTTTGTACACATTTAAGTACTGTAACTTGCCTTAACACTTCTACAATTATTTCTTTAACTATAAAACTATACTATACTATATGCCTATAACTATATGTAAACACGGCCAACTCAACCCAACCCAAACTTAGACCCCCAGCCCCCTCTCCTTTCTTGTCCCAGATGTAGAAGGGCATGCCGCCACCACATCAGCCCCCATTCTTAGCCTCTACTTACTCATCTGTGCAACAATATCTTTAATAATGTCAGAATGTGCAATATAGAGCCGCATGTGTCCATTGTTGTTCTACTTAGTCACTTTGTCCCCTACCCTCAAGTTGCTAACATGTACATACCAGTGGGGCAAAAAAGTATTTAGTCAGCCACCGATTGTGCAAGTTCTCCCACTTAATATAATGACAGAGGTCTGTAATTTTCATCATAGGTGAGAGACAGAATGTGAAAAAAATCCAGGCATTCACATTGTAGGATTTTTAGAGAATTTATTTGTAAATTATGGTGGAAAATATTATGCTAAAGATAGAGATTTTATACTTGTTATGTTTGATGCTAGAGTTTGCTAGAAAGTTTTGATGCTAGAGATTTTATTTAATTTTATTTAATTTAGTAGTTATTGTTCATTTATCCTCATTCTGTTCTGTAACTGGTGTTGCAACACTGACATTTTCCCACTGTGAGGCGAATAAAGGATTTCTTCATCTACTCTCACATGCGTCATTGCCGATAGTATCTTACTCAATATTGAGGGACCGCCATTATTTATTATAATAATAATAATAATAATAATTATTATTATTATTATACTCAGGTCCACAACTATTTTTGTATTTATGATCCACAATGTGAGCTTTAATTTATGGTACTTGCATTACAATCAAGCAAACGGTGAAGGAATTACAGCTGTTTTTATGAGTTGCTCCCTGTTTTAAAAGTCTCAAAAAAAATGTTACTACGTTTTAATGTCAATCACAGCTTGACGTCTGGAAGGCATAAACATCAGGCTCCCATCTGCTGATCCTCTGCTGGGCCTATTCTCCACTTCCTGCTTGTTCATGGGATATTTTACATTCTGTTGTGTCTTCAATAAGTTAAATGCTAAATCAGATTCAGGATATATGAATGAATGGCCTGTTGCATAACTCTGCAATGCATTTGTCTGGTATAATAAACGATTTGGGAGCATGTGCAGAGAGAGTGCTTTGGGCTATTGTAAGTAAGTCATGTTTAGCATAGCGCATTTTACAAACCAAGATCACCCAAAGCGCTTTACAATGTTCAGAGTTCAGATCAGTTTCCATTCTCTCCACACGAAAGGAGAGAATGGACTGATGATGGAACTGAGACACACTGATGCATCAAAGCCCCCAACCAATCCCATCCATTCACTCACTCATTACATTCAGACATATTGTGTATGTTTTTAGTGGTAGGGGAAACTGGAGCACCCAGAGGAAACCAGCGCAGACACGGGGAGAACACACAAACTCCACACAGAAAGGCCTGGAACTGGAATCAAACTAGGACCCAGGACCTTCTTGCTGTGAGGCGTAAGCTCTAACTGCTGAACCTATATTGTTATAGGCCATGTGCAATTTCTACTCATTTCATATATAATATAGTCAAAATAAGAGAATTTTATCCCAATATATTATGTATGGACCGGACTGTAAAACTGTTGTTATTAGTAGTTAAGCCTCACGCTGTTGCTGAAATATCTCAATGTTAAAAATGGCTCACTCCAGGATGAATGAAAGAACAAGGACAAACTTTTTGTTGCCAAATTGCTATGAATTAACTTTTTTAAATCATGCTGTCAATTACAGCTCAACCTGTCCCCACAAAAGGATGTCCTCACTAAATAAGTAGTATATTATAATGCTAACACCATAATGAAGCCTATTGCACAGTGTGATTCACAGCAGTCTGTACAGTCCTGGTGCAATACTGGCATGATTCATGAATTCCCTCAGGGACAAACCAAACCACGACCTTTCATAATACACTACACAGAACTACTATAACCACCTGTTACATTCTAAATGCAAACACTGAAGCTGCTCTTCCCATACACCTATAAACTGTGGTCTTTCCACCTGCTAATACCAAATATAGCCTAGTATCAAAGTGCACACAATTCAACGTGGGGTTCTGTTTATTGAAAGTTTAAAATAAAGACTAAGATGAGTAAACATTGTAAACATGCTTAGAAAATGAACAATAGCCAACAGCAGTGGTCAAGATGACTGAGTGATATCAGAGAGAATCTCACCGGAAGACACGCGGAGCAGAAGGCGGGCATCTGAAAGTTTCCTCCTGTCACGGAGGACAGCTGGCATGTCTTGGCGGCGGCGGACACTGGTCAGTGGACAGTGGTCAGCGGTTAGTGCTCCTCCTCTGTGGCCGTCTCCATGATGCGGCTGCTGCTCCCACACTGACAGCAGCGAGCGTCTGCTGTGACTCCTGGAGGAGAGGCGCGAGCGACGTCACCGCTGACACGCGCGGGTTACGCACTTCTCATCACCGCGAGATGAGGGGCTACTCAACAGCCAACAATCTAATAATACAATCAAAAAGGCTACTCCACAGCTTCCATTAGCCAATAATAACAATAATAACAATAATAACAACAATAATAATATATTAGTCGCAGTCCAATTAGTAGTAGTAGTATATAATAGTAGTAGTAATAGTAGTAGTAATAGTAGTAGCAGTAGTAGTAGTAGTAGTAATAGTAGTAGCAGTAGTAAGCAACGGTAGGCTTAATTAATAGTAGTAGAGTAATGATAGTAATGATTAGTAATGTAATAATGATAATGAGGAATGAGTAGCAGTGGTAAAAAGTAGTAGTAGTAGTAGTTCTAGTCCTACAGTAATTATAACAACATTTATAATCAACTTACATCACAGATGTATTTAATGTTTCTGTACATTTCACAGTCCATTTATTTTAATACGACTGCACCAATACAACTTACAACATGAGCAGTCAGTCTAACCTTTTTTGATATAAGCAGAAATTTGAAAATGGTTCACACATACATGCAAATATAATCTTCTGTATTAACTTAAAGAATAACATGTTCCTTTGACAGAGTAAGAAAACATAAATAAGGAATGCCTCAGGCCAGGCAGTCAACAACATGCTTAGCTACAAACCCTTGGTGACAGGACCTCAAAGGCACTGCTACTTCCCCTGGTGCTGTACGCTAAAGACCCAACTGGCCCCTGGAGTCAGCCTTCCTGACAACACGCTCCTGTATACACTTTCAAAACAATATGTAAGAGGTGTGGTGTGAAAATCACTTGTTCGGAAATACACTTCAGTGTTGGATCAACACAGAACCTTCAAAGCAACAGGAAGATAAGATGAGATAAAATAAACCTTTCATTCATCCCACAGTGAGGATATTTTAATGTCATTGTTACGCACATTACAGCAGAATAAGACCACTCAGGTCGCACACATCATACAGGATCTACTACAGGTTTATTGGATAATAGATAGTAGAATAAGATAACAAGATGAAATAAAACTCGAACTACATTTGCACTTGGTTCAAGGCTAAGTTGGGATAGCAGCATCATGTTGTAGATTACAATGTCTTACTTTCCGTATCTAATAAATGGGAGTGTTTTTTTAAAGTGACAATGGCTTTAAACTGAAGCAATTGTGACCATAAGCTCTAGAAGGATTTTCCCAAATTTGAGAAAATAACAGCCTGCCATCTACACTTTTTGAAAAAAACTCTCTGGTCTTATTTAAGAAGAAGAAGAAGAAGGTCATTTATTCATCCATGGGGAAATTTCAGTTTGATGCAGACACATATTAAATATACATTATACACATATACATGCACATATCAAGGCAAGCAGCAAACATCAATTCCACGCTCCTTATTGGCAAAGTGGGTCTTGCCCAAGGGTCGGCGGAGAAGGTCTCGTGGTGGGCTCGCACCTACGATCTTCGGGCTCAAAGGCCAATGCTCTACCAACTGAGCCACTGTCACCCACTGTTGTGCATGTATCACCAGAATGATTGACAATTAGGAGGACCAATAGTCTTGATGATCCACCCAAGTACATCCTCCTGTAAACCTTTAAGATTGATGTCTGTGTGTGCTAAATTTCAGTCCATGGATTTTATAAACAGGATCATTGTTTAATGGTTTGTCCTTCCATTAAAACCCTTAAATGTGTAGTGTGATTCTGATAACTACCACACCAAATCTATTTCCCTGGACTTTTAAGAGGATAATGAGTTTTGGGATGCAACAATTGAGCTCAGCTCAGTGGCACACACACAAATAGGCCTCCATAGGGTTCTTCAATTCAGTTCTAATCAATGTATTTCTATATAGCCCTAAATCACGATAGTAGTCATCTCAGAGGACTTTACAAAGTTGCTAATTCGCCAGCAGAGATCAGAGAATCAAACACAGGAAATGCAACGATAAAAAAACACATAAAAGTTGGATGACCAATGTCCATAGATGTTCATGTCTATGTTCTTCTTGTTGACATATCACCGCATCTCAACTGAAAGTGTCAGTTTATGTGAATACATGTATATGATACAACTATTGTGTTAAATGAAATGGAATGGAAACAGTGATACCTTTTGGTCACTCCGACAGTGATATCCAGAATTTTAGTCACGAGCGCCACTCAGTGGTAACATGAGAATTTTAATTTTAGATTAGTAATACATTAATGTGATGTTGACATAAAAAGTATGTACATTGCATTGATAGGGGATGAAAAGTCCGTGTATCCTATAGGTTGACTATAGGATACTGCTATAAGTGAATATAGCAGTATATGACTCCTTTGCTGTGTAAACATAGGGCTGAGCGCTCCTTGTCTGTGGCATACGCGTGTTGCACTGGCTGCGGGCTGTGATGTCATCAGATGGATGGGTGGCGGGCTGCAGAGATGCGCCTGTTCGCAGCCCTCTGCCTCAGCGCATCACACTGAGCTGAGCGGCTCCTGACAGCTTGCCAGGTCAGACAGAGGCGAGCGAAGGCAGCGTGTCGAGGGAACAAAAACTGCTCAAACGAACCGCCACTGAGGCCACTGCATTCATCTGAAGCATCATTGTGTTCGCCATGTATCCGCTGTAACACCGTGCGTGTACGCTGACCAGCCGTGCAGCCTGATCCAGCCTGGGCCTATACTGTGACTGGACATGAATTCGGCAGAGCAGACGGTGACATGGCTGATAACGCTTGGGGTGCTGGAATCTCCGAAGAAGACCATTTCAGACCCCGAGGGCTTCCTCCAGAGCTCACTGAAGGATGGAGTAGTCCTTTGCAGACTGTTGGAGCGCCTCAGCCCGGGCTCCACGGACAAAGTAAGAGACATATTTCACTAAGCTAACCCATACACCCCCGCTTTCCTAGATACACAAGACCGCCCTTACAGCGTGTCTGTGCGCTGTCCACTGGCCCATGAGCCGATTTCATTTGTAGGTCACAGCAGCCTTGTTATTGTCTACATCAGCTCCATAAGCCCCGCATAAGCAGCGAGATAGAAATAAGGAGGCCGCTATTTCAGCAAAATATCGATAATGAGACAAACATACAACAGATACTAAATTCGGTCATATAGGCTATATCTACTTGTATACTAGTCTATGGATCTATTCTGTAGTCTTGACTCTAATAATCCAGGGACTTGTCATATCGTTGCATGCTATGTATTTTAATAGCACAGCATTGATCGTCCCAGGATATATCCCTTTCACCGTGCAAGGGAAAGCGCGTCACAGTATATGGCTGCAGGCGCAGTGGTACATACAGTCTGAGTGGCACAGAGGGCCTATACTGAAATATAGGCATGATAATAATAATAATAATAATAATAATAATAATAATATCAATAATAATAATAACAATAGTAATGATAATAATAAATCGATTAATGTGTCCTTTATACACTCAAAGTCCATTCACCAATAGTAAATGTGCATCATTCATCCACGGTGATAGACACACATAGCCACAGCTGCCCTAAGGTTGACTGAAAGACCAAGGCTGCCATTTGCATCAATAACCCCAAAGAATCTGCCAATATGCACAATAATATCAGATGTATACTGTGGCTGATGTGTCTTTCCATATAGGACCTATCATAGATCCACAGTTGCTTGTACCCCACTGATTTCTGAATACTATTGAGTTTATTATATTAATTATGAGGGAGGCTGTTTGGTTGTTTAACAGTACCTGATCGTTTTGACTCCTTATGCCCAGAAAAGGCCAGATAACGGCGCCATTTTTAGTGTTTCAATTACCACTGGGATCTAGCGACATCCCAGAATAGCTATCCCAATGATGTTTGCTTTGCTTTGTTGTGCAATAATCCAAGGTGATAATTCCAGTAGGATATTTACCCCAAAGTATTAGTAACACTTATTGCCTAAAGGTATAGGAAGATTTTCTACTCCCAGGTGGATCATCAAGACTGTTGGTCCTCCCAATAGACAATCATCCTGGTGGTTATGTGTTCGTCAAATAAGACCAGAGAATCCTATACATTTAACTTATTAAAAGAACCTTCAAAGCTAAACTGGTGTCAAACTGGTTCAATAGAGGGCCAGTGTGGCTGCAGGTTTTAAATTCAACCAAGCGGGAGCATATCAGACTCCACCCATTTCCTCAAGTCTCCAGGTTAAGACTGGTCTCACTTGAGTGTGCTCCTGCTTGGTTCGAACTAAAACCCGCAGCCAAACCAGGACTGGTTTGACCCCCCTGTTCTAAAGCTTAAACATAAAGAAGACAGAACTTTTTACATTCACCAGAAAGCTGCTGATAAGCTATCAGCCCAACCAAGTTTTTGATATTCTATCATAATTATTTTTTGAATCTCCAAAGAGGATTTTGAATGTGAAATGTTACTTCCTGAACCAGTAAGCTCCGCCCTCTTCTGCAAGTATGGCTTTCGAATCCATAGAAAATACAATTTTTTTTGGTATTGTATTGACCTTTGTGGACCTTCACGGCTGTCTTCAGGAACAGCTGAGAAAATGAAATTAATACAATATTTCTACTTAACTAAATTCTGACCTAAAAACAAAACAAAAGTGGGTTAGACAATCTATCGATCCAACCTGGAGCTGCTCTGTCTCATATGGTCATTTTAACACTAGAACTCCCAGAACAGTCAAATTGACGGCCTTTAGTTTTGTGTAATTACTTAAAATATTTACATTTTTGGTGACTTTTTCTGTTTCTGTCTGTAACTTAATTCTGTCATTATTTTTTATGAAAATTTGCATTTACTTTTGAAATGAGCTTGTAGTTCTACATTTACCTCCCAGAGAAGAGCCAGTACGAGTTACCATAGCAACATAAAGTTAACTTGCTGACAGTTAGCATTTGGTAGCCTTTCGACAAACATGTATTTCAACGTTTTATTATATGACTTGGACCGTACGCGCACTCTGATTGGCTGTTTACCGGTCTGATATTTTCCCATCTCGGACCGTTACTATGACAATTGTCTGAACAGCGCGTATCACTTTTGATATCTTGCCTCGGACCGTTACCATGACAATCTGTCCGCAGCGCGTATCACACAAAACCAAGTCGGACATGAACATACTTCACAAATATCTCAAAAGCATTGGTAAAAACACAGACGAGAGTCATATAATAAAACATTTGTTAACCTTGCTTGCTCGGTCTGTACAGAGAAATATCAGACCTTGGCCTTTTTGCACAGACCTCGCCGCGGTCTGATATTTCTCCGTACAGACCTCGCGCTCGGTTAATAAGCCGTTATTATTACATGACTTGGACCGTACGCGTGCTCTGATTGGTTGATTTGCAGTCTGATATTTTCCCATCTCGGACCGTTACCATGACAATTGGTCCGAACAGCGCGTATCACATTTGATATCTTTCCACGGCCACGGTCTGATATTTCTCCATACAGACCTCGCGCTCCGTTAATAAGCCGTTAATATTCACCAGTTTTAGCACTTAGTAATAATAAGTTACTGATTTAAAAAACCTTGTGAATGACTTACCATTTGTCAAAAAACAAAATATTATTATTTTAATTTGATTTAGAATACAGTTTATCTTGTGCTGTGTGCTACTCATTTCTACTGCTCTGTACTGGTGATGCAACACTGAAATTTCCCTCTGTGAGACAAATAAAGGTCTATTGGGGCAATTTCTCAGATTCTCATTGTTTGAATGAAAGCGGTCAAAATGACGGCTCCGGGAGTTGGACTAGTTAGTAGCTTCATAAGTGTATGTTAAGCACACAAAAGGACGAGGAGGGACACCATGGGAGGGACGAGGAAGGCGGTATTCTAGTTGAATTTGGACGTAACCACAGGGATAACGTCACTTCCCCTCCTACACTTCCCACTGTACGGTCTGTGTTGATCCCATCCCGATGCCCCAGGCCCAGAGAGAATGCACACCGACCAGCACACTTCTTTCCCCGGGCAGCTGTGTCAGATGCGAGCCGCTGTCTAACTCCTAAATCCCCCCTAGTTTTTTTTTTTTTGCCACCAGCTAACCAGATGTTTCTCACCAGCGCTTTTGTCTTGGACCCGTTTTGCAGATATACTACGACCCGAAGAACGACGGGGAGAGCTTGAGCAACATAAAGGAGTTTCTCAAGGGCTGTTTATCATTCCGCATCGAGGTGAGTCTTTTCATGTTGATTCTTCTCAGTTTCTGTTAAAGCTACATTCATTCAGGCTTATGTGAGAAAGTTGATGCACAACACACAATGGACTAAAAGGCAATGTAAGTTGACAACCTATGGAGGAGGAGGAGGAGGAATGAGCGACGAGCAGAGAACAATCGACCATCTCCACCCCGGCGGCTGTTGTTGTGCGGGATCTTTATCCGGGAACCCGCAAAAATCCACCTTTGTTTATAAATAGTTAAATGACCTTATTGTCGTGTTTTGAGTTTTGCCTTCTTACCCACTGTTTTTGTGTTTTTTTTCTTTTACTCTATTACCGATTCATAGATACCCAGACAAACTTAAATTGACGTTGTAATGCAATCTATCTCTAAATAAACAGACTTGTCGAAAATCCGATGTATGGGGGTCTACAGCTTTAGTTCAGGGTACACATTGATGAGCGCGTGCCGTTTAAGGCCATAGCTTTTGCATAGTGGGCCCATTGAACCATAATGGCCCAACAATACACCAGTGTTTCTGTATAGGGTCTCGAGATGTGCAAAACGTCTAAAATATCCTGCATCATTGGAGAAAGAGATTGTCTTTCACAATAAACCATCTCTTGTAACCGGATCTGTTTGGCTCGACATATGAACTTAAATGATCAGGACACCACTGAAGATAAGATAAGATAGACTTTATTTATCTCACATGTCGTCATAAATAGTATCACTTAGGTTGTGCAAAAGACAGGAATAGTGCAAACATGTTACAAAGTGAAAGATCTTCTGTGCAAGATGTAGTATGTACAAAGTGTGAATTAAAAGTGGCTATTGCAGTGCAAGTTTATAATGCCCTCCTCTTTCTGACTTTCTGAAGATAGGCTCACAACTCACAATTTCTGCATCTGTAAATAATGAAGGGAAGTGTAGCAGTTGGATGGCAAATGTGCAAATGTAATAGAAATGCATGCACAGTAGAAAAGGTTCCCGCTGGTGTAAGATGACGCTTTAGAGTGGAACATCTCGTAGTTGTTATCGCCAGTGTCCTATACACAAGAAGAAGGCAAAGCACCAGTGTATTCGCCAGCACAGATACAATTGCAGCCATTGATTGGAATGAAGAATATAACCATAGTCACATTCCGACAACTCACTGCCTCAAGAACTGGCCTGTGTCAGTGGGTTAAACATGTTTGTCAAACATAAATAGGGTTTCTGTTAATTGTTAATTGCTTCCAATGTATGTTTATGGTTTCTAGTCTGCACAACTGATTAGGCCTTAGGTGCTTTTGTTTACACTATTGTTTTTTTTTCTTTCTCAACCAGCTATTTGAGGCCAGTGACCTGCTCCTGGGACTAAACTTTTCCAAGGTTTTGAGTACTCTGGTGGCCCTGAATAAAGTAACTGCAGGTTAGTACAAATGTTAACACAATTTCTGACATCATGTTCAGTTAGCTAGATTCTGTGCGGCCAAACAAAATACAGATGTCTGTGGATTCTCACTTAACTCAGACTCAAATTTGAAAATATTTGAACAATTACAGAATTGTTAGGGCTGCTACTAAAGAGTATTTTTATAATCAATGAATCTTGCGATTACGCTGGTCTTGTGTTTATTGCAGGAGTTGCATTCTAATAATTACTTTCAATAAGCAAAATCTGTGAAGAAGCAGCTCTATGTTTTAAGGCTGTAAAACTCCTCACACACACTTTATACACTTTTCTAACCACCTGAACGCACAACTGCTGAAGTGCGATTGCAGAGATATGAAGCCTGTTGGTTGTAGGTCTGAGCACTGCTGCAGCAGCTGTCAAACGCTGGACATTGCCCTGAGGGGCAGGAGCAGGACTGAGGGCTGCAGGAAGTCCTCCCCAAGCCACAAAAATTGTCTTCTGACTTTAAATAAAGGTCACTGTCATGTTATACTAACGGTTATAAGATGTTTTATATGATGTTGTTGGAGTAAACATGCAGCGCATGAGAAAGAAAGGATGCAAAAGTGCACACTTTGTTTGTGAATCTGATGCAGAAGATGTTTAAGCGAAGCCGCTGGAAGACATTCTAATCAATAATCAATCATATTTTCAAAGGTTTTGTTGTTGTTGTTGTAATTATTGCTCTTCTTGAGTCTTTAAATCCCACTTTACATTCTCTGCGTGTGTTTCTCTGTAAATGGAGTAGTTAACAATGATCTATTACTAATATAGTTGTTGATTATTTAAATCAATTAGTTGTGATTAATCGATGAACCGTTGTAGCTATAAAACTATGGTATGTGATGATTTGGGCTCAGAAATAAATGGTTGTTCAATAATAAGTAAGTACATCTTTAATTTTAGAGTGGTTATCCCTATGTCTTTCTGAATTTTTTTTAAGGTTATTCTGTTAAGTGTTTGACTAAACAATTTAATGTACATCTCCCCGTATGATGAAAGGCAGTGATGAAAAATGTTATGTCAAGGAACTTGTGTTTACTATTATAAAAGTAATTTGTATTGTTGTGGAGAAATGCAATTGTGTATTGTCAATTATTGTCATCATCAGCCATTGTTTGGCTAAAACAATGGCTGCAGTCATAATACTAGATAAGATAAGATAGACTTTATTGATCTCACAAAGGAGAAATGTACATGTCACATCTGGCATGGATAGAATCACTCAAGATTGTGCAAAAGAAAGAAATGTGCAAACATGTTAAATGCAGGATATATTATGCACAATAAAAAGTGGCAATCAAGAAACAGTGTCAATTGTAGTGCAGGTTTTTCAGTCCTAATGGAAGTGTCTTAAAGTGACTTATTGTGCAGTCTGACAGTGGAGGGGATAAAGGCCCTGCGGCTGCGCTCCTTCTTGCACTTTCTTACCATGACATACAGGACACTTTCAATTTGATACGATTCTATATATTTTTAATTTTGGCCCTTCATCTCAGCCCTTTTTGAATTAAAGTCAAAATGTGTACTGTATATGTTTTATTTTATTTTAAATCAACCCCCACCAAACATTTTTACTTACTATAGCGCATGTAAAAAATATCATTATTTATTATTATTATTATTATTATTATTTAGAATTCTATACATACTGGGTGACGTGGTTGCGCAGGGTTGATCTCTGGCCTTGTAGCAAGATGTTCCTGGGTTTGACTTCGAGGTTAGCATTGGTCCCCTACCGTCTGGTTGTGGTGGTGCCAGCCCTGCAGTGCGCTCAGCTGTAGTATGACTTGTGTAACTCTGTTTCGCTCTGTGCACTCTCCAACAACATCATTTACAACAAAATGTAACCACCAGTAAAACATGACAGTTCTCTTTATTTAATTCGCAGAAAACTTTTGTGGCTGTTCTGCACCACTGTGATTAGCTCAGAGGACTACTGTGGTCTTCCCGTAGCCCTCAGTCCTGCTCCTGCCCCTCAGTGCTGTGACCCCTGCAGATGTATTTGATAGTGTATGCACAGCTTTTGACAGCTGCAGCAGCGCTCACACCTACAACTAACAGGTCTGATATCTCCGCAATCTCACTTCAACAGTTGTGAGTTCAGGTGGTTAGAAAAGTGTATATAAGTGTGTGCGAGGGTCTTACTGCCTTAAAACAAATATCTACTATTTCATGCATTGAACTTATTGCAGTTTATTTTTAGAACCTGTGTGATACATGAGGGAGCATAGTAAATTGCATTCATGTCAAATAGGGCACTGGTTTGTGATGCATGAGTTTACTGGACATCATAACCTCGGTTTACGTGCTTCTCCCTCTCTGCAGATATTGGAGTTGGCAGTGATTCAGTCTGTGCTCGTTACTCCTCGGCTCACCGCATTAAATCATTCGAGTCGCTTTCTTCTCAAGCTTCACTGGGCCGCTCCTCTAAGCTCATACAGAACCAGTTTCGTAGTCTGGTAAGTCTTACTCACGTGCGGCTGCAGACCTTCATAAGCACTATTGAGACATGGAAACAAACCACCACTGGTGTCACAAAAAGGGTGATATTCAGGCAATATGCTTTAAACATCTCTGACCAAACAATCTCTGTCTCACTTTTCTGAACCCACTTTCATGAGACGAATAACTCCAAGACATTCTACAATATCCTGTTTCCAAGCAACAGTGTACTGGCCATTCACAGCATTCTGTCCAATAATATCAAAATGTCTGATGTATTTAAAGGGGACATATAGAGTATTGGTTCTCAAGCTGAATATTCGATGAGAAGTCATGTGTTTTAACCTATTTTGTCTGTCAACCCAGTGGTGAATGAACCACATCAATATTAATTCATTATTAAAGTTATTTTATTTATACTCCCTTCCATAGAAGAACTGTTCCCTGTGTTCCAAGTTCCTTTGTTTCAGACTTTGTAACCAAATAAAGACTGATGGATAATAAAGAAACACATACAAACTTCAAGCGTCTCAAAGCTAGAGCATGAAAGCGCCTCTAGACGCTACATTTGTGACAAGCTGGGACTATGGCAACATGGACGTAAATGTAGTGACTTCATTAAACCAGTAGGAGGCAAACTACAACCCTTTGCTTTAATTCCTCAAAAGATGGACTAGAGAAAATAGAGAAAATTATATAATGATGTCATTATCTTTCTTTTTGCATAGGACAGTCCAACCTTCACTGTGAGGAGACACATGTCACTGTATCATTCAACTTGAATGTTGTGTTTTCTGACAGGACATGTCAGAAAACAGTGGGCAACAGCTGCTGGTCAAGGCACGGTTTAACTTCCAACAAACGAACGAGGATGAGCTCACCTTCAATAAGGGCGACATCATCAATGTGACACGCCAGGAGGACGGTGGATGGTGGGAGGGCAGCCTGAACGGAAAAACTGGCTGGTTTCCCAGTAATTATGTCAAGGAGGTCAAAGGCTCCGGTGAGTACAATGTCTATGTATGCTTTTAAACAATATTGTAAACATATTATATATTAAATAGTTTTTCTGGTTGCAGACAAACAAGTGTCCCCCAAGTCGGGCACACTCAAGAGTCCACCTAAAGGCTTTGACACTTCTACTATCAGTAAAACGTACTACAACCTGGTAATTTCTATTCTTCATGTTTCCAGATAAAATTGTATAAACAATAGTTGCGTCTTCTCTGGCAAGATAGATAGATAGATGCTTTATTAATCCCTGTAGGAGAAATTCCGATGTCCAGTAGCAGCAAAAATAAAAAATAAAATTGATAATTCTAAAAAGCTAACAATAGTAATAAACAGCAGCAGCTCTTCAGGTCACAGCAGCAGAGGTGGAGTAGCCCTTGCGTGGAGCAGGACAGGTCACACGGTGGAGTAGCCGCTTGGTTTGGACCATTTTCTCTGCTCTAGTCCAAAGTAAAATGCTAAATGCTTCATTAGCATTTTTCAAAAAGTTAGCATTCCTCCAGTGGATTTTCACCTGATCCACTTTGTTTGGACCATGAATCCTCTACTATCAGTAAAACGTACTACAACCTGGTAATTTTTATTCTTCATGTTACCAGATAAAATTGTATACAAAAATAGTTGCATGTGACTATCAAAAGATGGTTTCGATATTTCAAAAAGAAATCATAACAGCCCTTAGCCACATGGAACATTTATGAGACTGTATTTTATTTATGATGTCTATGGGTTCCAGGTTGATGGAACTTGAGGGCCGTTGCCGTAGTGATTGATCATTTAAAACAGTGTATCATATGTTTTCTATGGGAAACTGGTTCCCAAAATATCTCATGAAACAGAAAGTTGAAACTAGAGACTGACACAGGACACGATTCTGATTCTTGTCGCGTTCTGCTCCCATGAAATCAACCCGATCTGTCCTGCAACCGCCAACATCAACTCCACTCCTGTACATTAGGTGAAACATTGATTTAAATGGATCTTTCAATAGTTCATCTTTGAATTATGCTTTCAATCCAACAATCTTATTTTGCTATTCTAATAAATATTGTATTGAATGTATTGACATTTCTCAAACCCAAATCAATAACTGTTTTGTCAACTTTAATATCCAAATAATAAAACGTATACCTTTCTCATCCTTTAGGTGTTGCAAAACATTTTAGAAACGGAAACCGAATATTCCAAAGACCTGGAGAGTCTTCTCACAAACTATCTGCGACCACTCCAAAGCAACGACAAGTAAGGAGTCAACCAAATATTCTACAATGTTGTGTTTAATGAGTGTTTTTAACATTCATAAAATTGTTCAGGTTAAGTTGCTCAGATGTGGCGTTCATTCTTGGGAACCTGGAGGAGATCTGCACTTTCCAGCAGATGTTGGTGCAGTTGCTGGAGGAAAGTACAAAGTTAGTGTCAAACTCTCACTGCATCATACACATGGCATCATAACGTTCTACAGTTTACACATGGTGGCAGTCAGTCGGCCTGGATCTTATGGTCATTTGATTTTTCACTGTAAGCATTTTGTTCTCGTGATTTGTAGGTCTGGGTCATGAAACCAAATTGGTATAAAAGTTCTATATTGAAACGCACAAACTAAATTACTATACTGATAGAGCAAAAGATTTAATTTTGATAAAAGATGCCCTTAGCGTTCCAATTGTATTAAGAGATAAGAGAACCTTCTAGCTTTCTTCTTGTCTATAGCCGCGTTTCCACCACAGGAATTTTGGTGCATGTCCCTGCAGCACCATTTACAAGAACTTTTACTGTAAATGGAGTACCTCCACCGGATGAGGCGCTCCGTTTGACCCTGAACAGCTCCTGGGTGGGGCTTGAGGTTAATCTGATTGGCGAGAGCAGGCTCTGACACCATCAGAAAGGACCAAAACAATCTACATTTTTAAAATCCAGCGGCATTAGCTTAGCAGCATTGTCCTAGCAGACACCACTGGAAACGGCATACAACAACAACAAGATGTACGATAAATGGACGGATGATGAGGTGCAGGCATTGATCGCCTTCTACGGCACCAAAGAAATTCACAGGCGGTTTGAGGCGTTGCGGCAAAATGAAAAGATATATCAAAACATAGTGCACCTCAACGCCCTTGGGATTCATCACACTCCGCAACAATGCCGTGAAAAGTAAAAACAAACTCAAAGACCACAACAACCAGAGCGCTTCTGACCGTAAAATAAGTAACTTCGCGAAAATGTCACACAAAGATTACACTGCGATCTAAACTCATCGTCGTTTCCTAAGAAATAATCCCATGACAAATTTATTTCAATTGTATCTTTTGCCTCTAGACTTCCTGAAAGCCAACAAAGGGTCGGTGCCTTTTTTCTGAACCTGATGCCACAGATGAAAGCTCTTTATGTGGCATACTGCTCCAACCACCCCTCAGCTGTGGATGTGCTCACCCAACAGAGGTATGGCACAGTGTGAAAGGGTAACATTACTAGAAATGGCTTTAGGATTGTACAAAATTATAAATTGTCACATTGTTTTACATTATTTTAGTATTGTTTTTGGCTGTTGTTTTTTAAGCTAATGCAGCTTCCTTAGAGTTTCCTTTTTACAAAGAACTAAGAAAACTTTACATATGGAATGTGTATAACTTGACTATGAAGTTTTGTAAATGAAGAGAATTGATTGATTGATCAAGTTAGAGCCATAGGCCGCAAATGATTTGTAACCTGCTTTTTGTCAGTGAATATTTGGGTGAATACATGGAGGCTCACGGAGCAGCCAACCCCGGTACACTCGCGCTCACCACTGGCCTCAGCAAGCCTTTTATGAGACTGGACAAATACCCCACATTACTCAAAGAGCTGGAGAGGCACATGGAGGTGCGTTCAAGGACATATCATTTGTAAGAAAGTATTTTTATTTGTCCAAGATGTGACTAATATTTTCTGAAATCATTCACGCTTTTAGGACGGTCTTCCTGACAGGACAGACATACAGAAAGCCATGGTGGCGTTCAAAAATCTATCGGTAAGTGCCCTTTTGCTATGATTTTCAGTTGTTGGCAGTACATGATGGCTGGTATAGCAATTTCGCTTCTCAGAAGGTCCTGGGTTCGAATCCCGGTCGGAACAGGTTTCCTCCAGGTCCTCCGGTTTCCCCAACCTCTAAAGTGTCTAAAGCAGACTTGGAGATTCTTATCCATGCATTTGTCTCCAGTAGGTTAGACTGCTGCAATGGCCTGCTCACAGGTCTGTCCAAACAGGCTGTAAAACAGCTGCAGTACTTTCAAAATGCAGCAGCCTGAGTCCTGACTAGAACCAGGAAGTACGACCACATTAGTCCGGTCCTCAGGTCTCTGCACTGGCTTCCTGTGGCTCAGAGAACAGACTTTAACACAGCTCTTCTTGCTATAAGTCTCTCCATGGCCTCGCACCAAAGTATATTAGTGACATGTTAGTCCCATATGAACCAGCCCGGACTCTCAGGCGCACAGGGACTGGACTCTGTTAGTGCCCAGAGTCAGAACTAAACATGGGGAGGCTGCTTTTCAGATTCATGCTGCTAAAATGTGGAATATTCTTCCTGAAAGTGTGAGACAGGCCTCCTCTCAGCTAAACAGTCCTGTTTAGCTGTGCATACAACTGAGGGATTTTAGATTTGTATCTTTCTTTTTAATGTACTGTGATTATTTATGATTTTTATCTTATTTTGTTCAGCACTTTGAGTTGCCTTGTGTATGAATTGTGCTATACAAATAAACTTACCTTGCCTTAATGAGTGAGTGAATGGAGGGTGTTGATTGGATTGCTTTGATGCCCCAGTGTGTTTGGCGTCTCTTCTGTCATCACGGTGTAGAGTGAATGGAAAAATTTCTTAACTCTGAACATTGTAAAGCGCTTTGGGTGACCTTGGTCTGTAAAAACGCACTATATAAATAAAGATTACTTACTTATTTATGTATTTACTTTCTTGCTTACATATGTAGAGCCATTGCCAGGAGGTGAGGAAGCGAAAAGAGCTGGAGCTGCAGATCCTGACTGAGTCCATCCGACTGTGGGAGGGAGATGACATCAAGACCCTGGGTTCTGTGCTCTTCATGAGTCAAGTCCTGGTTCAGGGAGGATCAGAGGTAAAGGCTGCATTTCAGACATCATACAGATATTCAGAGGATAATAATTTATTAAATTATCACCATCTCAGAATCAACTGAAATTGCATAATTTCTCACCAAATCATGTGAATACAGTTGATAGATGTTTTTTTGTCCCTGAGTGTGTCAGGCAGATCACTTGATTGTGGCATCTTAAGTACCAAAGGCACTAGCAAGTTGATTTTTACAAGAGCCTTGACAACAAGAGTGTATTGTGTGATAATGATGATAACATGTTATGGATCAGCCATGGTCTGACTGGAGAGCACCCCTCATTAAAAAGTCTTCTCCTGACATTTCCTCCATTATCATTATGAAACAATGCCTCACTCACCCAGTTAACGCTGTAATTACACACTGCTGCATTAAATCCATGTCGGTCAAAATCACATTCACCATGGCAATTTTATGTTTGTCTTTGTAAAGCTTGTCAAGATTTAACCTTTTTTTTGGCACAACCCCAGAAAGCAGAAATGTGAATTATCTGGATTTTTATTGAATGATTGTCACCTCTGATGACAATGTTTATTAGCACATCTGTGTATGCATTGTTGTTTTTACTACATGTGATGTTGAAGTGTTTGCCAGTGTCCACCATAATCATCTGTGCTAGAAAAAGTAATTTAAAAAATGTCTTTTCTCAGGACAAGAGTGAGCGTTACCTCATGCTCTTTCCCCACGTGCTGCTCCTGCTGTCTGCCAGCCCCAGGATGAGTGGGTTCATATTTCAGGTCAGAATGACATTCCTTTCTTAAAATGTGGTATTTCATAGTGCTGACTATTAAATGTGCTTCTTAGGGGAAATTACCTCTAGCAGGGATGATTGTAAGTAAACTGGAAGACTGTGAAGCCTATAAAAATGCATTCGAGCTCAATGGTAAACTAATCAAACATACTTTACTATTCAATGAGTGTGTGTCGTCTTGTAACCATCAATTATATCATTTATATTCTACAGGTACATTATTTGATCGTCTGCTGGTTATGTGCCTGAACCAGCAAGATCTTCAAGACTGGATGGAACACCTCACTAGACAAATAAAGCACAATGCAGCGTCTGCCCCCAGTCACAAGCCCCTCACAGTTCCCTGTCACACGGTGAGATCATTTATTCATTTAATAGACCAGTTATGCTATTCACTATCAGTACTGTTTAAATCCACTGCATTTTTAATGTCTGTAAAATGATCTCATCTGACAGTTTTGTAATGTATTGTAATATAATTCGAGTACCTCTGCATCTATTCTTATTCAAATCCTCACTGCTGCTAATTAAACGTGTGTTGTTCTTCCTCAGCTCCCCTCTCACCCCCTCACTCCGTCCCGGCACGCTGAAGGAAGGGCCATGACAGTTGCTCCCACTTACCACACCCTACCTCACCCCTCGTCCCACGGCTCACACAGCACTCTGATGTGGGGTCCCCTTGAGCCCCCCAACACCCCCAAGCCCTGGAGCCTGAGCTGCCTGAGGCCTGCCCCCCCACTGCGGCCCTCGGCAGCACTCTGTTACAAAGAGGTGAGCTTTTTGTCAGCCCATTTGTGATTGAACTCAATGTAAGCAGGTATTACCTCTGTCAGGGAGGCTATTGTTCTGTGTTTGTTATTAGTTTGCGTCATAACTCAAAAGGTCATGGATGGATTTTGACAACATTTATTGGAAAGAAAGATGGGAGAAGCAGTAAGTGATTGGATTTTGGATAGTGGTGATTTTCTATTAGTGGTAGGAATTAGCAAAAATTTGACGTTTGGATAGCATTGCGATATTTGGGCCACAATTCAATATTAATTAATTAGACTGGGAGGAGACACTTGACATATACATACAGTAACCCTAACCCTTAGACGCTGTAATTCAGACATGATTCATAAATCTCACAATTCAGTTTGGTTCTCGATGCAGGAACCACAAGTATTTCTTTTATGATACAGGTAAATTGTTTTTCTGCTCATCTCATCTACCCACTGTAGACCATTTTACCAAAATACAGTAGATTCCACAGTGCGTTTGTGTGTGCCTGCCTCTTACTTTCATTCAGATTGTACTCTCTGCCTTGAAATGCAGTGGAGGCTAGAGACTTTTTTTTGCTGAGAAATATTCATGTAATCGTCCTCGCCAGTCACTTTGGGTTACAACACTTCTGTAACGCCATGTTCACACAGAGAGCCTTAAATCCCCCTGAGCCTCGTCTACAGGCCTCCAGTGCCTCGGATAATTCCACATAGTGTCACTGACTGACAGTCCGCTGCTCCAAAGTTAACTGTGGTTCCACTCTACCAGGCTCAGTCTTTAGCTCTGCTCTCCTCGTCACCTCCCCTTGTCGCCTCTGACAGCTTTGCTCAATGCTTCTGTGACCACTCAAGACTATTGTTTTAGTGGTCTGACTACACAAATATGGGTGTTTTGCTGTTTGCCAAACATTGTACATTTTATTAACAGATTAATTTCAGTGATCTTTATTTGAACAGGACTTAAGTAAAAGCCCCAAGAGTGTGAAAAAACTCCTTCCGAAGCGTAAACCTGAGCGGAAACAGTCTGAAGAGGAGTTTTCCCTGAGGAAGAGTGAGTGTCTTATTTGTTGAGCTGCTGTAGCGCTGATATACTGTATGACACATACTGGTATAATTATCATGTTATGCAGGCACTGCTGCTTTGGAAGAAGATGCCCAGATCTTGAAGGTTATTGAGGCATACTGCACCAGTGCCAAAACAAGACAGACTCTCAACTCCAGTAAGACTTTTCCACTTTCTTTAGAATTAAACTTTTCTAGTCTTTTAACACTGGTATCCCTGATTGGTCTGATCTAACCTTTCTTCTTCTGTCTTCTTCATCCCTCACTCATTTACATTGGGTTGCCATGTTTGTTTTGTTTGTTTTCCTTCCACCCTTTTGTATCTCCATCTTCTTTCCTCTTTCCACTCGTTTTTCGTTCCTCTGCCCCACATTGCTCTGTGCTGCCCGAGCAGCTTGGCAAGGCACTGACCTGATGCACAACCATGTGTTGGCGGATGTGGACCGCTCCTGTGTGGACTCTCCGGGCCGTCGTAGCAGCATGTCGCGGCCAGAGCTTTCCTCTGACCTCTCTGAGGACTCGGACTATGACTCCATCTGGACCACTCACAGTTACAGGATGGGATCAGTGCCCCGCAAAAGCTGCATCTCGCACCAGAACTAAAGATCAGACAGTGCTTCACAAAATACAGCAAACTCGCTTCTTTTAGTGTATTGAATGAAACTAGATTTTTTATTTGTATATTTATTTTCTATTATTTCTATTATTTTTTGTTAATTTATGTTGTTAATTTATTACTCAAACTTTGCGATGAGCATCTCCCTGTTGCCTTCTTTCCCTTTTATGTGCCTCCTCTTTCTGTAGTCATGCAGTAAGTGTTTAGTTTTCTTGAATGTGACCACACCCCTTCATTAAACACGTGTTGTCTCGCCACATTGAGAGAACTTCGATGTCGGGGTGAACAACAGAGGAGAGAAAGAAAGGGACGGTTTTGTTTTCCTATCTGATATTCAGATGAACTGGAGGAAGTAGTCTGTGCATGTACTATAATGTACATTTAGACTTTACTGCACAAATGTACCGATCGATGGGATGCCATAGAGAGACCTGTTCAGCAGCTTTTCTAAAGATACACATTACTGTCAACGTAATGCGACCAAAACCATTCCTTGAAACCCAAACAACATGATTACGGTTATTTCTTTTTTGGGAGATACTACCTATAAGCATGCATTATTTATTTCTTATTTATTTTCCATTTTAAATTGCTTTTCTAAACATGTTCCCGTAACAACGCTCGAACACACCGGATAATCCTTGGAGAACAACATCAGCACATTTTATTCAAACTGGCGCATTACCGAGAAAATTGTGTCCATAAAAAGTGTCGACCTCCTGTAGCCAAGTCTGGAGGATGGGTTTTTGTGGTCTTCTTACATTCTAGTGTTTAGCCAGCAAATATATTATGTTATTTATAGAGTTTTGGTTGAAAAAAATCAAAAGGATCTTAAAGTATTTAATAGGTGTAGTCTTATCATAATAATTTAAATTGTATTAACGTATTAATTCAAGTCTGAAATGCTTGTTTTCTTTGCCAATTCTCACCGTTTACAATACCTGAACGCTCTTGTTAAATCTCAGTCCTGTACATGTCACTCAGTCCCCAAAGTTGGTGCAATCCTCAATGAATTACAATAGGTACCACTGTTACCTATGCATGCCATCATTCTCCGACTTATAGTAATGTAATGATTTCTTGCATCAATTACTATTTTTATGAAGAGTATTTTTACAAGAATGGTACAGAAAGCACAGTTAGGATTCTCATATAGCACTATAGAGTAAGCAATGCCCACGTTACAAAATAATTAAGTACAAGCGTGTCTGTATTCTTTTGCATTTAACTTATTTATCGTCATATTTATCTCAACTCGAATTGCATTGTTTTATGTATATGTTTACAAGTGAATCTCTGGAAGGAAAAAAAAAAGCTTATTTTTTACATGCGTCTCAAAAGTTTACACCAGAAAAAGATCCAAGTGTTTTCTTTGAATTATTTTGCACAATAATGTAACGGGCTGGTGGGAGGGCGGGGTAGAATGTGTTATAAATATAGTATTTTCTGTCGTCTGCCTATAGAGTGTGAATGATATAGTTCTCAAGGTAGTATTATTTAGTGTTACTGTAAAGTATAAGCTCGATAAAAGAGTAACTTATCTCTCCTTGAGTGTTTTTGGCACTGATGGAAAAATGGACAAGAAAAAAGCGTGTAGGGTGATGCAGATGTATGTCGACTGCTCATTCAACCTCAGAATACGGTCGTCGGACTTGAAATATAAAGAGCACATTGTGTCCCCTTGTAAATAATCGTCGTCTTGAAACAGTCTGTCCTATATTCGTATTTGAACTCGGAATAATACGGTCTTTCTGCTATGTGCTATACTTTGTGGCAGTTGTATTTCGATTGTTAAAAAAGGTAAATTCTGGGACAGGGTGAAGAGACGAGGTTGTCTTCTTGTGTGCTCCGTTTAAATTGACACAGCGCCTTCAGTGTTCTGTTCAACTCGGCTGAAGTGTTCCAAGTCCCAATGTATAATGAGTTTTGAATAAATTTGTCATTTGGTAAACGGAGGCATTGTGATGGTTTTTAACTTCGAGACGTGTATGTGTGTGATTATTTTCCATGTATAGCTGTGCTTGAAAGTTTACAACCCCAGGCAGAGAAGAATTACACGCAAACGAAACCATTGATTGACGTTTTAACTTTTCAAATAATTTTCATATGTTCTTTATTTTCAGACATTGAATTACAGGTAGACATCACAGCTTTAAAACTCTGTTAAAACTTTGTTATCCAGAATATATATTTCCTGTACATATGTCTATGAGCAGGAAGGAACGGATCTATTTTCAAATTACAATAACATAATAGAGTATATTAGAGGTTTCCATCCCCCAGCATATGTAATGTATTTCCCCAATCTATGAGAGATTGTATTATTCTGTATTGGTTGTTCATGAGGTCTCTGATGCTAAAACTTCTCATTCTTCCCACCCAAAAAGCCTCCAGTTCCATGCACAACTGTATGTGTTGGGTTTTTTTCTTCGTGGTGCCTTCTCTTTTCTTGAATCTTTGCATGACTAACATGTGTCACTGCTTTGTAAGTTTGAGCTGATGTGATCCACACTTCTCTAACTGTGCTGTTGTATAGAATGGTCAGTGGTTTTGTGGTTTTAACCAGGGCTTCAGAAGAACGCAGGCCTACACGTCATCATCCCTGCTGACGACAAAGACCCCAGCCGTAATGGACAAAGCAGATCGGAGGAAAAGTAAGATACAGAGCATTATGTACAGTACCTTGCGAAAGTATCGCAACATAAGCTTTCAACATTTCGCCACATTTCAGGCTTCAAACATAAAGATATAAAAAATATTTTTTTTTGTCAAGAATCAACAACAAGTGGGACACAATCGTGAAGTGGAAAAAAATTTATTGGATAATTTAAACTTTTTTAACAAATAAAAAAGTGAAAAGTGGGGCGTGCAATATTATTCGGCCCCCTTGCGCTAATACTTTGTAGTGCCACCTTTTGCTGCAATTACAGCTGCAAGTCGCTTGGGGTATGTCTCTATCAGTTTTGCACATTGAGAGACTGGAATTCTTGCCCATTCTTCCTTGCAAAACAGCTCGAGCTCAGTGAGGTTGGATGGAGAGCGTTTGTGAACAGCAGTCTTCAGCTCTTTCCACAGATTCTCGATTGGATTCAGGTCTGGACTTTGACTTGGCCATTCTAACACCTGGATACGTCTATTTGTGAACCATTCCATTGTAGATTTGGCTTTATGTTTTGGATCATTGTCCTGTTGGAAGATAAATCTCCGTCCCAGTCTCAGGTCTTTTGGAGACTCCACCAGGTTTTCTTCCAGAATGGTCCTGTATTTGGCTCCATCCATCTTCCCATCAATTTTAGCCATCTTCCCTGTCCCTGCTGAAGAAAAGCAGGACCAAACCATGATGCTGCCACCACCATGTTTGACAGTGGGGATGGTGTGTTCAGGGTGATGAGCTGTGTTGCTTTTACGCCAAACATATCGTTTTGCATTGTGGCCAAAAAGTTCGATTTTGGTTTCATCTGACCAGAGCACCTTCTTCCACATGTTTGGTGTGTCTCCCAGGTGGCTTGTGGCAAACTTTAAACAAGACTTTTTATGGATATCTTTGAGAAATGGCTTTCTTCTTGCCACTCTTCCATAAAGGCCAGATTTGTGCAGTGCACGACTGATTGTTGTCCTATGGACAGACTCTCCCACCTCAGCTGTAGTTATCTGCAGTTCATCCAGAGTGATCATGGGCCTCTTGTCTACATCTCTGATCAGTCTTCTCCTTGTTTGAGATGAAAGTTTGGAGGGACGGCCGGGTCTTGGTAGATTTGCAGTGGTCTGATACTCCTTCCATTTCAATATAACTGCTTGCACAGTGCTCCTTGAGATGTTTAAAGCTTGGGAAATCTTTTAGTATCCAAATCCGGCTTTAAACTTCTCCACAACAGTATCTTGGACCTGTCTGGTGTGTTCCTTTGTCTTCATGGTTCTCTCTGCGCTTTAAACAGAACCCTGAGACTATCAAAGAGCAGGTGCATTTATACGGAGACTTGATTACACACAGGTGCATTCTATTTATCATCATCAGTCATTTAGGACAACATTGGATCATTCAAAGATCCTCACTGAACTTCTGGAGTGAGTTTGCTGCACTGAAAGTAAAGGGGCCATATAATATTGCACGCCCCACTTTTCAGTTTTTTATTTGTTAAAAAAGTTTATATTATCCAATAAATTTTATTCCACTTCACGATTGTGTCCCACTTGTTGTTGATTCATGACAAAAAATTAAAATTTTATATCTTTGTTTGAAGCCTGAAATGTGGCGAAATGTTGAAAGGTTCAAGGGGGCCGAATACTTTCGCAAGGCACTGTAAGCCATGTGTGAATGAAATCCTTCTGAAAACTGTGTTACTTAAATGTACTCTTCATTTTAGGAGTTTGGTCGATATAGTCTATTCCTTAAGAGATGAAGTTCAAGGTCTAAAACAGGTAATTTGCACATTACTTTTTTTTGATGATAGTGTAGGGATCTTTGTTAATGTACTGTGAATTTGTATGTTTTTAATGTCCTGTATTGTTTCTGTCTTTCTTTTAGTGCTTTTTATTAGTTTATTTGAATAGGGACAGTACACATTAATCAATATTACGGTAAATGTGTCAGTATTAGCTATACAGCTAGTTTACAACTGTAGTCCCTAGGCAAGGTGTAAAATGTCAGCAAACATTGAGTTGTCTTGTACATGAACTGTGCTATACAAATTAACTTGCCTTGCTGTGCCTAGTTTTGTGGATTTAAATGGGATTATATGCTGTAAATTTTGTATAAACGTCTGTGCTTTTGAGTGCCATGTCTAACCCAGTTTTTTACTTATACCAACAGGATACCAAGAAGATGAAGAGGTCAATGGAGGAAGAGCAGAAAGCTCGAAAGGACATTGAGAAAGTTGTACGGAGGGTCTTAAAGAGCATCAATGACCCATCATGGGACGAGACAAATTTGTGAAATCCACAGTGAGGCTAACGTGTGTATTTGAGCATTATGAAGAATAACACTTGATGGCTACAAGGCTGAATTCATGCTATTTATTTATAAGGAAAGGCAAAAGTAACACCAAACATATATGGGTTGACCTGGACATGTCTTGATGTTTACAGTATGATTCAGTGCCACTGTGATAGGACGCTTCCTAATGTTATTTAAATATTAGATCATCTGTGAAGTATTAAACATATTGACTGTATTTATGCAGTGTTTGCCATGGGAATTGACCTGCACTGCGTTAGCTGTTATTGTAAATACTATATTGAAAAACAACCTTTTTTTTTTTTTCTTTTTTTTTATAAAACAATTTATGAGATTTCATTGAGTGACTTTCTCAGTAACGCCAGACTAGAGTGCGCTCACGGTACTACATGTGCTGGTACCGGACCTGGTACCTGGGATTAATTGGTCTTGTTTCTTGTCCTGGTTCATGGATGGTGGTGTTTATAACAGGTAAACAGGTAAGGTAAAGTATTCAGGTCTTTGCTCTAGCTACTTAAATATGTGTGTGTCAACAGAAGTTTGTCATTTTAAGATTTACCCTTGTAAGCTACAATGCCAAAAACAAGCTAGCAGTGGCATTAGCACGTGGGCACGCGGTGGGCATTAGCACGTGGGCACGCGGTGGGCATTAGCACGTGGGCACGCGGTGGGCATTAGCACGTGGTATAGTAAACCAATCACACCATTTTCATTCTTCACCCTACGCCCTTAGCACCGTTTAATGTTCATAATTGCCACATCATGCAGCTTTATAGGTCAGTGGTTTCTCTGGGGTTGAAATGAGAATGGAGGTTGGATAAAAGGACATGTATTAAGTAAGAAACTGTTCACAGAAGTATTTAAAGGATACGTACTAGGGGACAAAAGTTGAAATCTTTTTTTTTTTTTTTACTGAATGAATATGGTTTTTTTAGCTCAAACGTAGACAATTTTATTCCATCCCATCTTTATTGACCAGAGAATTAAACCAAGTTTCTTACAGTCTCTACTCTACTCTCCTGATTCTCCACCACCTGCTTTATTTAAACTGTACAAGGTGGTTTTGTAGTACCTGCTTGGTCTATGGTATTCCCAGGATGAGCTGGGATTAACGTGCTGGTAGAATGCTGTTGGAAGCTATGGTTACCAAGGAATTTACGAGAGAGAGAGAATGAGAATCACCAGTTACAGAAAAGTAGGAATGAGGAACGTATAAGATAAGAATAACAAATAATGAAATCTCTAGCTTTAGCATGATAAGGAAGCAATCTATAATCTCCAATTTTAGCATAACGAAGAAGCAAGAATTTAAGGTATATAGGAGGATTTTCCCAAATTTTAGAAAAGAACTACCCTCTCCACTTTTTCAACAAAAGTCAGTCTTATTTGATGTGCACGTATCACAGGATGATTGACAATTAGGAGGACCAATAGTCTTGATGATCCACCCGGAAGTAGAAAATTCTATATATCTAAGTACAAAATATTTGACTTTAGCTTGAAGCTGGTTTGCTGATGGATACGGTACCAGATTCTATCGCAGGGGTCTCCAACCTTTTCGATTGGAGAGCTACTTTTATGAAACGGAAATGACAGAGAGCTACTCCTTTTAGCAATCATAGTATACTTGAGGTCTATAATAACTAAAGCCAATCATGGAGAACACATGTATATTACACTACTCCAGTATCCCTGCATTCATGAAAAGATGTATAGTTAAAATAGATCACTCCAAAGTGTATCAGGTGTTATATTCTTTAATCCTTTGGGGAGCTACTGATGGTTCTTGAGCTACAGGTTGGAGTCCCTTGTTCCAGCGTAATGGAAACGCAACTAGGTAGAGTAGAGTAGGGCTGGTCGAAACAGGACTGGAAGAAGAACATTTTTCCTCCGAGTGCTGCTGGCTAAAAGTTTGGAAGCACTATTGTATAGTGGAATCCAATTTGTAGCGGTCACAGGTTAAAGTCAGCTGTTGACACTTTGACATGGGTTTCTCCCTACCATTTGTGCATCTCACTGTTGATGTGTGTAACTATTGTAATTGCTTTATGATGCCCTCCATGCACATCACTCCCTGGCTCTCCCACTTCCAACAGAAGCAGATATCAAAGTCCTTGCACAGACGCAATCTCCTCCATTGAAAAAGCCCTAAAAGTTTGGTTTGAAACTTCACGTGACTGATACTCATATTGGAAGACCTGTCAAGTGCCGATTGGGTGAGAAAGTTGTCAACTGAAAAGGAATGTTTCATCTGAGCTGTGACCCGGCCCATTTACTCGCTCCCCGCTGGAGTGACGGCTTGTCAGTGTGGTCGCCCAACAATGAAGCTCAAACCTACAGACTATTGTGCCACAAAAGCTCCAAGGTCTTCCTCTCTCTTTCGTTCACTATTTTTTGTCCTTTTCAAAGCAGAGAATCAATCAGCTGTACACACATACATACACGCTTTGCTCTGTCTATTCAGCGGCAGTGATCATTTAGACTTGACATGTATTGTGAAAAACTGAGCTGCTCTGGCTTCTTCTTCTCCTCTTTCTTTCACCCCCTTTCTCTTTCAACTGTCTGTCATTAATGTCCAGGTCTTACAATTTACTAACAGAAGAGAACAAGAAAGCCAAGAGTGAGGGATGAATTGATGGATGGGAGGATAAGCACTCTGTGTCCTTTCTTTAAAGATTTGTTATTGTACAGTACTGTCTCCCAGTCATTTTTGGTTGGTGTTTCAGTCTGAAAGCCCGTCCACGTGCTCTTTTGTATGGGAAAGCAATAAGGCCCCATTGAATGAAGCTGAATGGACCTGCCATCCTTAGGGGCTGAGGCCTGAGGACTCCTATTCTTTAGCCCCCAATCTAATTGGAGCTGAAATGAAATGGAGGTTTCTTATGAAAATAGGCTTTGTTTGGCCGCAAGGCTGGTAATTCATAAACAATAAGCAGGGCCCCATTGTGTAGATAATAATATATTCATGCCGCTGGAGATGGGGAGAAGGCAAGGCGAACGCTGAGGATATATAAGGCAGATAGTCAGCGACAGGGATGGAGAGTGGATGTGGAAGGGGAAGGGGCTAATAGCAAATAGTGGGTCAGACAAAATAGGTAATGGTTGAGTACAGGCAGAGGACTTATTAGAGCAAGTGTAAGGACTTATTGGGAAGAGGTGAGAGGGGTAAAAATGGTGGGAATGGGAGTGATGCGCAGGATAAGAATGAGGCAGGAGAGTGGTGAGTGTCAGATTGGGAAATGGTTGGAGCACGGTGAGCTTCGACTGCAGGAGCAGTGGCGAGTGAGTCTGAGTGTCATCAAATGGAATAGGTTGCACAGTGCAAAGATCTGTGGACTTTGTAGTTGGTGAAGTGGGTTGGTCAAGTGAAGAGCAAAGTGGGGAGTGTAAGAGGGAGGGATGGAGAGAGAGCAGAGCTGCTGACAGCCGGCTTTCACCAGCGCCAGGAAACAGGTGAGCTTTAATGTCACTTTGATGCGTCCATCTTACTGGGCTGTCTCTCACACTTATGGTTTTCAGGAGTGCTGCTGATCTTCACCTGAAGTAACATCTCAAAGAGGACACTGCCCTTTAGATGTTTTAAAGAAAGGATATCAAAAGTGCTGGATGTAAGTGGCCTGGCTGCTTGACCAAAAGGACTTATCTTCATTTTCTGTCGACAGATGTGGGACTTTACAAACTCAAGGGAATGTTCTGGACTAAACACTGCTGTGGATTATTTCTAATTTCCATCTGTTTAATGACAGTAAACACTGGGACTATGAGAGCAGAAGAAGACGGGACCGGAATGAAGAAAGTGTTAAAAGTGCGTGAAGTGATGACTGTTAATGGTGAGTACAACCAAAAACTGTTTCTTTCCATTATTTTCACCCATTAGTGATGTACTGAGTGCTGGATATGTAAATACAACCAATTCAATCTCAATATTAAACCTATAGTGAGTTAACTGTAACCACAGATTATCAAGAGAGACTGTGACATCTGTAGATTGTTTATGGCTGTCTGTCTATGATTATTGTGTTTTATATGAATATATTAGGGAGTGTTTTATCTCACTACAAGGGACATGATGGTGATCATTTTGACGTCCACCACACACCTCACTGCATCATAGAGGCTCATGAGACATGTTGCACTTACTCTTACAGTTGTACTGTTTGGCCACTAGATGTCAGTATATAATAATATATAGGAGCTGATTTCTTCGTAACTGATGTCTCCAGCCATACATGGTAAGTATTATTATAAAAGTAGACATAAAATACACATAAAACAAGAATCTTCAAATAAATAAAAAATGCTTTGTATAATATAACTGCTATACGTTTAATAATAATCTTGATTTATATGTAATTTTTTTCTTTACTGAAAGTTTGACTTTTTCTGTTTTGTTGATGATGATGATTTGGTAAAAGTTGGTGTTAGAAATACCTTAGAGACCTGTTTACTGTACATGTTGTAAAGCTTTTGTCCACAAGGTGGCAATCCTACACTGTACTAAGCCAATCAAGCCTCTCTACATCACATGCCTACAGGCCACAGCCTGTGATGGACCAGTCTACAACTTATTACTTACTCATATTTTTTCATCAACAACCTTTTTTGGTTCATTTCTGTTCTGAAGGTTTTCTGTTTGGTCCATAGCAATTACACATTAGTTATTCAGTGCAGACGTGCAGAGATGGGTCCTGCTGGATCTCCTTGTTTGTTTTGATTTGCAACAAAGTGCTTGCTGGCGATGCTGGTCACTACAAGTGTCTGGCATTCTGAGCCCACGGCTAATCAGGCTGTGGGCAAACTGGGTGGCAGTTCCATGAATGGTTTTCTGGAGATTATCCCAAAATTATCCATGAATTATCCTCCCGAATTACGGCGTTCCAGTCAGGCCTTGTCCATTGGCGGGACTGGGTAGCAGCATTGCAGGGACATGAGTGTGTGCATGTAGTCGGGGGGAGATTTGGACGCAGCCGTGGTTTGTGTCTTGAAGCATGTATTTTGTGTGTTTCAGTCTGCACTCATGTTGGCTGTGTTGTTCCATCAGGGTAATGGAGCATGGGTAATCCCGATCAAACAGCCATTATCCACAGACTTTTTAAGAATGTAGCTCATTAATATGAGTTTGTAATTTACTGGTTTGTTCAATTGTGTTTATTCGTCTTTACAATTATTTTGTCCTTTAAAAAAAAAAAAATATATATATATATCCATAGCAATGTATCTGTTAATAATATTTGAGTCAGAATATAAATGTTGCTTTTAAATCTTTCTTTGGAGCCTCTACATTTTTGTCTTTTTTAAATGTAGTTTGAGAAGCTGCTGCTATTGTGCTGTCATTAAGGTCTAGGTATACAGAGGGGACTAGTTTGCAGCAGTGTGTGGCTGCTGGAGCCCTGGGGGGATGAATAGTGCCGCTGACCCTCTCTGTGATAAGTGTTTGGTAAACAGGTCAGTGGATTGTCCTCAGTGGCTCAATCTGAGCTTTTTTCCCTGGTTGAGAACACAAATTATCCTCCGTATTCATCACAACAACAGACCACCAATGGCGCTCAATCGCACACTGTTGAGATTGTATGCACAAAATCTTGTTGTATTTAACATAATACCACACAGTGAAAGTGAAAAAGAAATGCATCTTCGGTTATTAAAGATTATTAAACTCGGTCACAAAAAGGAAAAGGCATTTCCTCCCAGTATGAGTTGGCATAGATAGAAAAATAATTAGTTAAGAGGGGGATTGGCAGCTTATGATTGCACAATGTGAAAGAATAAAATAGTAAAAGTCAGAGGGCCAAAATAAGGGAGAGGCTGAGGTGCTGAAAGGTTAAGTACGTTTTATTTTTTTGGATTCTCTACTTCCTGCAGGGCCCAGTAACTTGACCTGCTGGTTACAAGCAAGAGGTAAAAAGGGGGCGAAACAGGAGGTAGAGAGAAAAGGCTAAAGCTGCATGTGAGGGTGCAAGGTGAGAGGTGGAGGAGCTAAAATGGGAGGAGTATTTGCCTCTGGCTGATGGGAACAATTGGACACACACTCAGACCTGGAACAAAAATGGACATTCTCCCACACACACACATACACCACACACACTTAGGACGGCAGTCCCAGCAGGCTATGAACTTCAGTGCAGTAGTTGCCATGGCGATACACTGAGTTGCTGACCCCCCGACTCCATTTTTCCTGCCGCTCCGCTATTGAAAGAGATGATTGACAAGTGTCCAAATGTCAGCCGACCCAGCCGGCCACACAGATAGGGGGCCAGCCATTTTCTGTTACTTTGATTCACACTGGGGAAGGTGTGTGTTTGTCACTTGAATACTTGTGCCTATACATGCATATGCATATGTATATCTACACTTTATAGGATACATATGTATAAGTAACGCTTTGCTCTGGCAGGTTCTTAAGAATCAACGCGTGTCACCAAGTTATGCAAACTAGCCTTGATTATGAGTTGTGATAATGACTCTGCAATTTAATATTGAGAACTACTGACTTTCATCTTTGGGTCTTAAGCTAATAACATATCTGTTCCATAGGGCTAATTTATAATTTTAGAGAACAAGACTTCTAAATGAGAAGAGGATAGCTGTGTGTAAAAATGGCGTCCACAGACGGCTCAGAGTGTCATTGTCCTCAGACCTGAAGGGATGGTCTTATCTTGATCACCCACAGTAACACATTAACCTCCTCCCTGTTATCGCGCTGCTGGTCATTAGTGCCAAAAGCCTGTGCGTCCTATTGACAAGGGCCAAGAACTCTGTCGGTCTGTTTGTGCGGACGATAGTGTGCGGCGTTAAGTTATCACAGGTGACATGTGCTTTCAGATTTGCTGAGCTTGCGATTTGGCCGATAACGTTATTGGCATGTTTTGTGTTTGTGTGAAAAGCGCAGTTTTATATTTGAGAGTATTATTTTAACCAGTTTGTAATGTCCTCCCATTGTTGTCAAATACTGAGTTAAGTTTATTTGTTATATTTATTGAACACAACTAATTGAAAACGCCTATACACAAATGGCACTTTTCCTTTCAGAGAAACTCCTTCCCCTGAAAGTGATAATTTAAAAGGTAATCGTCGCTTCTGCCATGAGGCCATTTAGGAAGTATTGAGAAAAAATAAAGTGTGGCTCCTTGTCTCTTATGTAGAAGCTTTTTCTCGTGAATGGTTTATACCACTTGCTGTTGATGGAGCATTACACTCGAACTGTCAAAGACAAAGAGCAGTCTGAAAAACAAATTAAAACAACTTAGTGATATGATGTTCTGACAAACACAAGCCAGTCACTTCTGGCAGCAAAATATAAAATTAAACTCCTGTTCAGTTAAACAAGCATGCGACCAAAAACAATGTGCAATTTAAACCCCAAAACAAACCTGCGTTTATCAAATATAAAGTAATATTAACAAAAATCATAAAACCATAGTAACTGCTTTTTAGTCTCTCTGCATCCCCCTTGTCTCCTGTTTGAGGAGCTGCAAATCGAACAGGTTAAAAGAATAATTGCAACTCTCTTTAGCCCGAACAGCCTCTCCTGTGCACATAATTGTGTTGACACGTCCATGCGTACACAGACAACAGTGCACTCAGACAGAGGGACGGCCCGCGTGTGTTAAAGTGTGAGTCCAGCTCTTGTGTCCTCTTCAGTATGAGCACTGTTAACCACGAGAGGAACACACCCGCATTGACCGCGCTGCGCTGCTTTTGTGGCTGCGCGCCGCGTTCACATGGAGAGGCACAGAGTGAAAGATGTGGAAATATTATGACAATGCTCTCTCCTCCAAGGTGAGCTTTTCTATAGCAAGGGGTTATTATTATTTTATGAAGGTATATGATAAACAAGCAGAAACAACGTTCCGGCTAATCAAGGCACATGTAAAGAGCGTGTACTCGGGCTGTAACAAGTTGCAACTAATAGATTTATTTAAATAGTCAACTCATTTAGTAATCGATTAATCGTTCTTTTGACACACAGATTTAAACACGCTGAGAAGAGGTTTCATGACTCGGATAGTTTTATAATGACTGTAGAAGGAAATTAAAATGTGTTTACAAAGTATTATCAATAAACTACCCAATGTGTATCAAGTGTAACAATCTCTGTGCAGGTGTTCTCCCGAGGTCATTACTTGAGATTTGTTTTGGTCTAATGTATAAAAAAAATCATATTCTTTTTGGATGTAAACAACTAATCAGTTAATCGAAAGTAAATAATCGAACCAAAAGATTATACAAATAATTAATTACAGCCCTAGCTTCTATGAACATTCGTCTGTATATTCAAATAAAACAATAAATAGTGAAAATTGTGACCGCATTATTGGACATAAAAAACTTGTATTTTTGGAATCTGGGAAATATTACGGTGAGAGCAAAAGCAGAGTAATAATTGTCAGTTTTGAATATAGTGCGACTCTGATAATTGCTTTTTGTTAAGAGCTTTTTAATTGCGCACACTGCGGCCCAGTTGTAAATGTGACATGCTTCAGTGAAAAGTCCATATTAAATGATCCAGCCCAGGTCTGTTCAGAGTGACTGGCAGGTGAAGCAGTGCTGCTTCCTGGACCTTGGTGGCGCTGATGCTGCGCTGTGATTAATAAAGCATTTCAGTTTTATAGTGGATCCACTCACAATCCAGCATTACATTAAGAGACATTATCTAAATACTCAACAAAGTGAAATTGAATTTAGGGCTCTTTCTCCAGCCCCCTCCACTGGCGCTGGGTGAACTGGCTCTAGGATCCCATTCTCTCCTTATTGTTGCAGCGAGTAGCCAGGATCCTGTGCCCCTCATCCACTCTCAAATTGAATCAGGCTCAATTTGACCTTTTATGTAGCAGAATCCGCTGCATACTCCAGGCTACAGATGTACAGTATGTGCATGGAAGTGCAATTGACACGTGCGCGCCCATCGTTCGTGCCCTCGTGTCAGCCTGCATTGCTTGTTGTGAAGTGGAAAACAGAATCTCCCTATGTGCGGCAGAATGGACCAATTAGTGTTTAGCAACAGGGCAGGAACCCATGTGAATGTGTCATTGATTAGCAGGATTTGGCTAATCATCACATCTCATAAAGTGAGCGGCTAATGTCAGCTGGATCTCGCACACATGTTTTCCGCACTTGTCTTTTGGCCCATCTGCGGCTGTCTGTGTCCTATCCCTTCCTTCCTCTGTCTTTCTTCACTGCCTTCCTTCCTCCCTGGCTTTCTTCTCCATCTACATGAGGGTTTACAGTAGATCAGAAGATGCTTATCGCTCTCATAATCCAGGAAAGTGTACCTCCTTTTCTGCAAACGTCCACAATATAAAACATTTCAGGGTTCGGCTACTGGTGTTGCCTTTGCAGAATCCAAAGTATTTCTGCATTTATTTGCATCTGGAAAATGTTAAATATTCTCTGGAATCTTTTTATAGGAATGAAATTATGCAAAACGTTATTATTAAAATATCCTGCCTCTATTAATCAATCTATTTCTATAATTACTCAAACCATGTGAATCTCTACTTGTTTGTTAAAATCAATCAATAAAAAATGTTTTTTAAAGTACAAATAATGCAACAAAAAGTGCTTTACAGATTGGGTAAAAACGACAGACCCACCCCAAATCATAGTCCAGTCTCACATAAATTTAATTTCACACATGCACACACGTGCACACATGCACACACACACACACATGGGCTATGAGCTGGGTACCAGTGAAGCCAGCAAAAGAAACAACATCCAAGGAGCCGTCTGCACCAAGAGCAAAGAGCCGCCTGGAGCCCCCAGGAGCGAGAAGGCCCCAGACCTCCACCAGGTCCAAGAGCCATTCCCCCACAGCCACAGCCCACCACCGCTCCCAGTGCAGACGGCTCCTTCAGAGGAAACACTGGGGATACTAAAACAATAAAAGTTAAATATTAAAGTGTAAAAGGACTATACACAATAAATGATAAAACATAGCATGTATAGAATAAAATGAATACATAGAATAGGTAAATTACGGTAAAATAAATAATACATACTAATCAAAAGCCAATCTAAAGCGGTGTGCCTGCTCTTAAAAAATGATTATGAATATTAGGAACATAACAACATTATGATCATAATATAATGATTGATAGCTGCAGCCCTACTTTTCTGTAATTCTATTTGGAAACTATAAAATATGAGAATGATCAACAACAGACCATTACAATAACAATAATGAATGATAGAGTAATGAACACAATATTGCTGTTAAATAGGTGTTCATCATTGTTGACTTTTGCCATCCTCTGTCTTCATGGTGCAAGTGTTGGCCTGATCATTTTTGTTGCTCCACATTTTAAACATAATTCAATTTGAATCGAGATGCTCAAACGGACACGCGTGTTACACCGCTGTTTGTTATATTAGCGGTCTTGTAGGCGTCGTGCTCATATTAATTAGCATGTGTTTGACTCGGTTCGGTGACCAGCTGGGTGTTTGAAAGGTGCGTGCATGAGGTTACAGGAGGGGACCTCAGCGCGTTTGATTTGTTGTGTTGCTAATGTGACACTGATTATACAGGTCAGGGTAAAACAAAGCGGTGAGGCGCAGCTATGCTAATCCACACTGTCTGATAACACCATGCTTTTACACGTATGCACACCTGCTGGCATACACATTCTGTAGGTGTCTCAGCCTTTAGCCGAGGAGGCACTGGACGCACACACTTTCTCAGGTCAGAGAAAAAAATATTCAGACTTCAACGCCTGGGTCTATTTTTTATTTTGGTTTTTGAAATAAGTAGTCTGTTGCCATGGCGAGGAGAGGTTAGTGAATTTGACCTATGCTATCATGCTAGCTTTAGTACCACAGCTGTAATTTCAAATGAGAGAAAAAAAATGTGTCTCTCAGTGAATTGATTTATCCCTATGTTTATGAGTAGATAAGTGCAGTGATGCTTAGATGGAGGGTTATTTCCATGGGGTGACTCTTTTGTGCGTATTGTGTTATCTAGGCCACTGTTGATGGTAGGGAGTACTGTAGCTCTTTTTCTCACAGCGGGGCTCCTCTTTTTGTGTTTGTGTATATGGGCTGCTGTATGTGCGTCTGCGATTGGTTTGTGTGGCCCCAGTCTGCTGCTCGGCTCAGGCAAAGGCATGGGCGACATTGTGTTTGCGAAAAAGCAGTGCGTGATCAGACTGCCCCTCTACAGTAACAAAATCAGCTACAATAGGATGGAAAAGCACAAGTGACTAAACAACATTCATACGTAACCTCTTCTCTCCTGATAGTTAAGGCCTGTGTCCTTGGCTCACTTTACCTCTGCTTTGTTACACTCTCCACTCCAACTGGAATGGTTCTGTACAGTTTTTGCACGATTGCATAAGGAACTGTAGAAACAATCACATTTATTTACAATGCACTATTCAGACAGTGTATGAATGGTTAGGTTACACAGTCAATACATTTCAATTAAACAAATGATCTTCAAATAATTATTTTTTATCATTTTCTTTAGTAATGGCCACACAGAGAGTTAGTGGAGTTTGCATCTGGTGCAGCATTTTGACAGCTCGCATCATTACTGTGTTGTTACAGACAGAAAAACACACAACAGAAAGGCATTCCAGTTAGTATGTGGCGTAATTAGGTTCTATTGAGTGTCCTTATGGCCGAAGGGAAAGAACTTGGCTGGCAGGTTTTTTTTTTTTTAGAAGAAACTACTTAGTTTTTGGCCATAAAATTATTTGACAAAAGTATAGCCCTAAATCAAAATCAATAACTGAAATATAAAAAAAGGAAACGTCTGTGGGAAACCTGGAATAGAGTGTCCTGGATTATATAGTAATGCTGTTTCTTTGGTGCATTAGTTTGATATATAATTTCTTTGGTCACTATTCAACACAAAAACAACTGCATACAAACACAAACCATTTGAGTTATAAAAGAAATATACTATCTTAGAGACCAGAAGGATTAGGCTGAAGTTTGCTTTTTACTTTGCCTAAACCATTTTCAAAAAGTGGTAATCTGTAAGACCAATTATTATGAATTTCAAATTAATTTATCGACTTTGAATGTGAAACTTAAGTGCCATATACACACAGGTGACACACATAGATACAGTATAGATTCAAGTACATACATAAATATATAGAAATCTCAATGATCCAATATCCATATGGAAACACTTAGAGCCTAAACATGGGGCTAAAACAAATATTTAATAGATGTATTGAATTTTTTTGTTGGTAGCGGGTGTGTATTGATTCCACTTTAGACACAGTTTAAATGTAGTTGCCCCTAAACACTTTGAGGTGAAACATATGGACAATGTCTAGAAGAAAATTGGTTGCTAAGAGATGGGGTTTGTCTGGGTTTTGGATAATTTGCAGAGGCGGGTGACAGTGTCGGTCGCAGTGGGCGGGACCTGTCAATCGTGTTTGACAGGTTGTCATGTTGGCCAGCAGCCACAGATGCAGGGGCCACGCAGGGTCAGCGTCTGGCCCCTTTGGTAGCACAGAACTCCGAGGAGGTCATTACGGGGTGATCCAATTCCCTCTGTTTGGGGCGTTAGGAGATTGTGTGGTCACCTTTGCAGGGCTGCTCTGCACACAGGTCAGCAGAATAAGATGAGACTCCCAGCTGAGGTAGAGGGTCAGGCCCACAGGACAGTCAGCACTATACCTGTTTGAATAATCTCCTGTCACTAACAATAACATGACACTAATGCTGTCTTTAGTCGCCTGAACAAAAACATTATGGTTCAATTGACCTCGGGGGTCCCTGGGGTACTTTTATAGGGTGACTTTGGAGAACTGTCTTTTTCTCTATACAGAATGTCCCTCTTATCTAGGTTTTTTGTCCACCATTTCTTTATGAATTTCTACTCAACTTTCTTCCTGAGGGATTCCTCTCACCTTGATCCTTTGCAAAATATGCGAATACAACACAGTGGATGTTATTCCCAGATGTAATTCCCATTCTCTCGTCCTTTGATCGCTGTGATTTAGATTTACTATTGTCAACAAATCCTAAAGGTGTTTTGTTTAGTAGCTGGACATGACATTCTCACATAGGACAAGGTGTCTTTAGCCTAATTTAAACAAGGCTCTACTGTAGATACAATCCATTAAAAAGAATGTGCTTCATTCTACATAGGTGCGTTGTCAGGAAAACCAGTAGGAACAACCATCTGGTGGTGAAGGCCGAGACCGTTGGAGCTGCTGCAGGAGCCGCTGCAGGAGCCGCTGCAGGAGCCTTGTCAGTGGCAGCTGTTTGAATGCGTAATGTCTGTCATACTCCTCTCGTCGCACGTGGAGCTTTGCATTCACTCGTACAGTTTGTGACGTGAGCCTCACATATGTTATATTTAAAATATATAACCTCTTAATCCGTGTATCATTCGTTCTTTTGATTTTCTAAATAAAACCAACATTGAAAAAACGAATAACAAGGGATGTTTTTGATTCTCAATATTTGAATTTAATGCAAAATTGAAATATTGGTTTGTTTTTTTGTTTTCTGTGGATCCAATTAAAACGAAAATGCAGTAAACCAATAATGACCGTCTAAATTACATTTTGCGATTTTCCTTTGAAACACAAACGTGCCCCGGAAGTGATTCTAAAGTGCGCGTTTGTCACGAGACCAGGAAGTGTCGCCTCCAGGTACTTGGATCGCACCTTGTTAGCGCTGGTTGTAGGAGAAATGTCTCTTAAAACTCTCCTCAACATCAGTCAGATTACCAGCTTTTTCGTTCGCTGCTGCAGAGACCATCGCAGATGAGAATTCTCAGATTCACGAGAGAAGGGGTTCTTCGATGAAAAATATATACACAAGTGTCAAGGTAAGACATAACTTAGCAACTAGCGCTAACAGCTAAGTTAGCGTTAGCTACGACAAACATGAAACACTTACACATGTACCTAATGTACCTAATGTGAGTGCTTTATTATTATAAATGTATGTTATAGACTTTCATATTATATAATATATACCAATACACAAACATGATATGTTTGTGTATTGGTGAAAGTAATCATGCTAAATTTTAGTAAATAAAAGATGATGCTAGATGTACCTTAACCATTCAATTGTGCTTTGTTTCTGCTTCATTCTCAATTATTGTCGAGGGACAGTAGTTAGAGCTAGATGCTTCAGGCTTATGAAGAGAAACGAGGAGCCCCCAGACTGCAGGTTTGAAACAGTCAGAAAGACTGCAGGTTTGAAACAGTCAGAAAGACTGCAGCTTTGAAACAGTCAGAAAGACTGCAGGTTTGAAACAGTCAGAAAGACTGCAGCTTTGAAACAGTCAGAAAGACTGCAGCTTTGAAACAGTCAGAAAGACTGCAGGTTTGAAACAGTCAGAAAGACTGCAGGTTTGAAACAGTCAGAAAGACTGCAGCTTTGAAACAGTCAGAAAGACTGCAGCTTTGAAACAGTCAGAAAGACTGCAGCTTTGAAACAGTCAGAGCCGCTGGGCTCATGTTCAGCTTGAGTTCCTGTCCTGATACATGACTAGCAGAGCATCTTTCTGTTTGGTGGTTACTATTTCTCTTCTGACTTTATAAGATAGTTAAGTTATAACAAGTAATAATTATATGTCTGTTCTAAACCCACTTTTCTGTTTTAGATCTCACTGGGTGTGCAGCAGGTAAAGGTTTCAGACTTCACACTACTCCCAGCCTTGGCCTGTACCAGTGATCTGCACAGCTCTCCAGCTGGTCCTGGCCTGTACCAGTGATCTGCACAGCTCTCCAGCTGGTCCTGGCCTGTACCAGTGATCTGCAAAGCTCTCCAGCTGGTCCTGGTCTGTACCAGTGATCTGCAAAGATGGATGTGTTTATGTCAATGCAATAAAATTAATAATAACTGATCTACAAATCTCCTTTTTGTTCCTTTACATTTTAAACTTTCAACTCGTGTTTATCATTGTAAATTTATGTTACAAAATTAGAATCATTGCATGAAAAAGCACGTACTCATCAGTGTACATTATGTTCTGTCACATTTGAAAGTGTAAAAACTCTTAAATCCAGTTGTCCTGGTCTTAATGGGCATTACACACGCAGTGACCTCACAGATAGAGATGTAAACTGTATGGTCAATCTAACATGCTGGTTAGGAAGTCTAACGTGCTCTGTGAATGTAAAAACCTCCTTGTTCCAGTCTTTTTGGGCTCCTTTATTCACAGACCAACTGTGGCGGAGCTACAAGCAGTCAGTCTGCAGAGGTTAACAGTTTCCTATGACTCAGTGAGGATGCTGCTGAAGATCCCAGACACAGTCGTCCAGTCAGATGTTTGCTGAGTGCAGGGTGCGCTCCTTTCCTACGTCACTGCTACTATCGGTCATGTGTAGAGTCATGATGGTACCTAATAGTATAGTACAGTCCCTGGTTTGCCCTTACATCAGCTCAGTCAGGTTCACCTCTAAACTTTGGAGTCACTGGCTTCTTTGTATGTGTGACTTGCTGTAAATATGTGATTATGTGTCTTTTTAACACAGCTTTTTTTTTTTTTATTCTTTCATTCTTAGCTCTGGATCCTGTGCTTGCATGTAGGTCCTTAGTAAAGTCTAAATAAAATTGGACCCATGTTGCTGCTGAAAGGAAGTCTGAGGTGTAAGTTGTTCTGTAAAGGTACATTCAAATACACAACTTGTCATTTTACAGTCTTGTTTAGTTAAGAATGTCATTTCCTAATTCATAAATCTATTGATACATAATCCACTAACAGTATTTGTTTTAACGGGTTTTCCATTGCTATTCAACACAATTTAGAAAAAAAATGTACAGAATTGTGTCCAAGTGTGTTTTAATTTGGGAACAAACAAATCAAAAATATTTACACTGGAACAGACACACAGAAGATTTACATACATGATGAATTTAGTCTTTGGCCTTCATAATTTGCCAAAACACAACAAGCTGTGATTCCTGAGCCTCGGGAGACAGAATCCCTCTTGAATGTTGCAATAAAATTATTCCAGGAAAAAGAGATGTAGCAGCAATAGTTTTAAGGCGGCTGATATGTAAAAATATATATTTATGTATGTATATATTGGGCAGGAACATGATCCATGTTTAATGAATACATTTACTCAGAATACCTTACTCTGAGCCACTTCAAAAAGTTTGCTTTCGTGATTAACCACTGTATCAAAAAGAAGGGACATGACTCAGCTGATGACTTGACATTTGGACAAACCTAGTCGGTGTAACGTGGTTGATATTTCTGCATATGTTTGAATGTTTTAGAACCATTCTATCGCTGTATCTGCAAAGTCTTCCAACGCACCCATCATTTACTGTTTACCTGCGGGGTGCGCACTTGCGAATCACTTCCGGGGGATTCTTGTGTTTCAAATGGAAATTGCAAAAAGTAATTTAGACGATCATTATTGGTTTACTGCATTTTCGTTTTAATTGGATCCACAGAAAACCAAAAACAAACCGATATTTCAATTTTGCATTAAATTCAAATATTGAGAATCAAAAACATCCCTCGTTATTTGTTTTTTCAATGTTGGTTTTATTTAGAAAATCAAAAGAACGAATGATACACGGATTCCTCTTGTTCTGCAAGAAATGTGAATTATTCTCTCTCCTGCACGAGTCTTGACATCATCAAAGAAATAAGACGCCCAGCTGGTATAATCATAATTGCCATTGCTTCATGACATCAGTCCATAATTCCAGTTCTATTTATTATTGCTTTATCTCGTATCTAGTAGTAGTAGTAGAATAGTGTTACAACTTGCTAAAAGACATGACAGCAGTGTCAGAAATGTGTTTCTTGTTTATAGAATGAGCCTGGACTGTTGATGGAATTTTGTGTATAAATGACTTCAACAGACGTTAAGTCTTTTTAGAAAATCTCATATTTCTACATATTTCAACTTTTTGTTGTTGCGTTTTTATTACTTTATCTGCAAAACCAAAGAAAATCTTTTCCACTGGTTTTATTAAACCCAAGCAAACATCACGTAATTGTTTTTATATTTATATGATTTCTACACTATTCTAAAAACTCATTTGAATGTGTATTTGAAATGCATGTGACAGAATTATAAATGTAACCTCTCCCCTCTTCTGCCCTCCGCCCCCCTCATTTTACCCCCACTTGAATCCCAATGACAACGACTGACAGCTTTGTTTGTACTGCACTAAGTGATTTTTAATCAACTAGTCTGTACGAGTTCTCCCTGGAGTAATAGCGGTGCACGGGAGGTTTAAGTCGTGCGACTGGACAGTAGAAATCCATAAACAAAACACTTGATACTTTTGTAGCCTTGCAGAATACTAATTATTAGTGGCATTCCTTTTGAATAGCTGTGCCCTGTGAACAGACTGAATCTTGCTAAGACATACGTATGGTTAACTCAAACACAGCACATAAAGCGGTTTAGTGTTTTAACTCCTATTTCATTGCTTCTATTCTTCTAGAAGTCAAGGTCCAAGGCCCACAAAGCTCTATAGAAGCACAGCTTTAAGTGTAGGAGGTGAACATACTGCAGGCGGGCATGGGTACTTGTGGGAGATGTGTTTGTGTGTCACTATTGTAAAACGACCTTCAAGGAGAAAGCTTGGCCTGCCACTGCCAATATTAACAACCTGACCATCAGTGTAAAGACTGTCAACTGGGCCCAATGGATTGACTCCCCGTTTTCTCACATAAAAATACACTGCCGGCAACAGAGCCAAATGGACTTGTCAGGAGACTTTGTGTTGAAGGTGTAAAAGTCATTCAAATTTGGACAAACTTAGTCTTCTTTGATGACCCCATGGCCTGTCTTTACCAACACATTACAGCAGCGTTTTCAGCATCTTGTTTGTGGACGTGCCTCTCAGCTGTCTGCTGTCTGCAGTCACTGCTCTCTTTCCACTCCTGCTCTGTAGAAGCAGCTGGGTGAAGCAGAGATAACTCTTAACTTTGTTTTGACACTTTTGATTAAGGACCATTGAAGGAACACCTGTATGGCGGGAGGGAACAATGCGCCGAGCCCGTAGAGAGATTGATTTTGTGCATTAGAGAAGCAGCCTTTGTCTAAAGCCACAAGGCCCTTTGTTATGCTAACCAGCCGTGGAAGATTTCCAATTCAATTTCACCTGAACGCTGGTCAGCCGCACGCTCCATTGTAAGGCGTCCCTCGGGCCTGGCTCCCCCCCTCACCGCCGCGGCCACCACTGCCTCTCCCCTGTCGTCTCTCAAACTGCAATTTAGCCACTGAGGAGCGTGTGTGTGTGAGGGACCACGAGCTGAGATTGACAGGCGCTGGGATAGTCTTGCCACAATATTCGCTCCATCCTGCCCTTGTGTGTGCAGTGGGCCGCAGAGAGGATCACAGTGAAATGAGATGATATTAATTATCCTAATCCTGATAGCTCTCTCTGGAACTGCGCTTTCTCTCCACAGTCTCATGAGAGGGCTTGGATGGTCAGGCCGAGAATGTCAGAGAAATGAAATGAAAGCTTCAAACTCAGTTGAGAATACTTCAACAAAAACTGCTCTGTCTGAATATGGCAGATCTGCATTTGCCTTTCTTCTCCCTGATTTTATTGCCACTTCATTGTCATTCCGCTTTGACAGTCATCTCGTAATTGAGAGTCACATATTCTCATCATTTTAAAGTCAGACCAATCTAATACAATGTGATGAATAGCAAATATACCTTTTTGTTTTTTAATTTGCAATTGTATTATCCAATACAAAATTGTCATAGAGCATGCTTTTGCTTGGGTGAAAATCATTTATACATTACCAAATGTATTTTTCTGATAAAACCAAAGGAAGAGAGCTTTTAATTGAATATCTCTCCAAAAGAGGATGGCGATAATTAAACTAGAGGGATTCGCAGACTCATGAATAGAACCATATTACATAGAGATTTATATTAAGATCCTGTTTCTGCAATGATGTAATAACACAATTCTCAACTGCAAGCATTTACATCAACTTCTTAACTCAGTCTTTTCATTTGATGATTATATTTTTGTTTTATATCGCTTCGCTCCATTGGCTTAAACTCGAAGCCACGAACCTTATAGCACTTTCTGCTTCTGTAAAATAGAATCACACCATTATTTAGATTGGGAGGTCAATCGACATACTAATAATTTGAAACTATATATGTCACAATGCCTTTGCTCAGTTCAATGCTGTTCTTGTAATCAAACTGGCTATAATGATTTAATGAAATGTTTTTCTTTTGTACCTAGGCCACATTTAACTACTACTTATTATCCCCATTATTCAGAGAGGAGGAGAAAAAGCAGTCAGATATGATTAAAACTTTGTATTACACATTTACAGTGCCTTGCGAAAGTATTCGGCCCCCTTGAACCTTTCAACATTTCGCCACATTTCAGGCTTCAAACATAAAGATATAACATTTAAATTTTTTGTCATGAATCAACAACAAGTGAGACACAATCATGAAGTGGAACGAAATTTATTGTATAATTTAAACTTTTTTAACAAATAAAAAACTGAAAAGTGGGGCGTGCAATATTATTCGGCCCCTTTACTTTCAGTGCAGCAAACTCACTCCAGAAGTTCAGTGAGGATCTTTGAATGATCCAATGTTGTCCTAAATGACTGATGATGATAAATAGAATGCACCTGTGTGTAATCAAGTCTCCGTATAAATGCACCTGCTCTTTGATAGTCTCAGGGTTCTGTTTAAAGCGCAGAGAGAACCATGAAGACAAAGGAACACACCAGGCAGGTCCGAGATACTGTTGTGGAGAAGTTTAAAGCCGGATTTGGATACAAAAAGATTTCCCAAGCTTTAAACATCTCAAGGAGCACTGTGCAAGCAATTATATTGAAATGGAAGGAGTATCAGACCACTGCAAATCTACCAAGACCCGGCCGTCCCTCCAAACTTTCATCTCAAACAAGGAGAAAACTGATCAGAGATGCAGCCAAGAGGCCCATGATCACTCTAGATGAACTGCAGATAACTACAGCTGAGGTGGGAGAGTCTGTCCATAGAACAACAATCAGTCGTGCACTGCACAAATCTGGCCTTTATGGAAGAGTGGCAAGAAGAAAGCCATTTCTCAAAGATATCCATAAAAAGTCATTGAAAAAGTTTGCCACCAGCCACCTGGGAGACACACCAAACATGTGGAAGAAGGTGCTCTGGTCAGATGAAACCAAAATCGAACTTTTTGGCCACAATGCAAAACGATATGTTTGGCGTAAAAGCAACACAGCTCATCACCCTGAACACACCATCCCCACTGTCAAACATGGTGGTGGCAGCCTCATGGTTTGGGCCTGCTTTTCTTCAGCAGGGACAGGAAAGATGGCTAAAATTGATGGGAAGATGGATGGAGCCAAATACACGACCATTCTGGAAGAAAACCTGTTGGAGTCTGCAAAAGACCTGAGACTGGGACGGAGATTTATCTTCCAACAGGACAATGATCCAAAACATAAAGCCAAAGCTACAATGGAATGGTTCACAAATAGACATATCCAGGTGTTAGAATGGCCAAGTCAAAGTCCAGACCTGAATCCAATCGAGAATCTGTGGAAAGAGCTGAAGACTGCTGTTCACAAACGCTCTCCATCCAACCTCACTGAGCTCGAGCTGTTTTGCAAGGAAGAATGGGAAAGAATTCCAGTCTCTCGATGTGCAAAACTGATAGAGACATACGCTAAGCGACTTGCAGCTGTAATTGCAGCAAAAGGTGGCGCTAAAAAGTATTAGCGCAAGGGGCCGAATAATATTGCACACCCCACTTTTCAGTTTTTTATTTGTTAAAAAGTTTAAATTATCCAATACATTTCGTTCCACTTCACGATTGTGTCCCACTTGTTGTTGATTCTTGACAAGAAATGTTCTGTGTAAAATTCTCTGTGTAATGACAAAGGTATTATAGGATAGAAGACCTTTAAAGACTTGATCGAATTGATCGAATTTCTTGCAATACTCATTTTGATAACAGGTTAATGTGTTCATCTGTTCATGAACATGCTCCAAACTAATAAATTCAGCAGCATAACAAGTTAACTATTATACTTTTTCAGGTCATAACAAATACCTGCTCTCAAATGAAACAGAATAAACGTATAACCACTGTAAAACGTTTGGAACTAAATAATGTGTTTTTGACACTCAAAGATGTCACATTGCATTACACACTGTGGTGTTTATGTGCTACTACAGCCATAGCTGCCCTGGGGCTTACTGCCTGAAGCAAGGCTGTTGATTTGAGCCAGCGGCCCCTCTGACCACCACCAATCATTCACACATCAGACTCACAAAGAATGTGGGTAAAGTGACTTGGACACATCTAATATACAGCATCAGCCGCCCCACTGTGGCACCTTTTGTCCCCAGAGGGCACCCATCACAGTACTAACCAGACCCTGCCCTGCTTAGCTGCAGTACAGATCTTAAAATGTTTGCACTCTACTTCTTTTACTTACATTACACGTTACATTAGACCACTGCATATAACAACATGGTTTAACCTGTGAGACCTGCATGTTTAATCACTGTTAAAAAGCAGCACATTCTAAATTCCTCTAGTGGCACCAGAATGTCTGCAGTGCTTCTCATACGCGATGGCTGATGATATGCTTGCCTCAGTTTCAACATATCCCTCATTTAAATTAATTGATTTGTCTGTAATTTATCTGTGTTTGCATGGTTGTTTTTGCTTCTGATAAGTCTTTGTTTAGTAATGGAGCACATCACCACAGATGTGTAGACAGAAAGGCCTAATCCTGGCCTAAAGTGGCGCTACTGTATATTTGGAGCTTGTTTGATTGTGAAGCTTCTTATTATTGAATATGAGTGACGATCATGCTCGTTTGATCACGAATCAATGCTGCGCTCTTCTCACTGCTGCGCTCAAGGGGACGCAAAGTGTACAAATTGTTTCATGGGGCATTTTGCTCCTTTTTCCAGATTCTCTTGTCTTCCATCTTGAGCTTGCCCTGTAGCCCGATGAGACCCCTGTAGGCGCCCGACTCACCCCCGCCTATAAGCCAGCCCATCTGAAGTGAGGAGAATAGCTGTTTACCCCTCTTAATGCTGGAGGTATCAGTGCCAGGATAGAGTGGCACATCGCTGCACTCCCACCCCCCCCCCCCCCCCTTTCCATTCCTTCAATAGGCTTCTGAAGTGTGAAGTATATTTTTGTTCTGCTGTTTTTATACCAATTTTAATTCCACAGCTGCATATCTGAGAAGCAGGATTTCCTTGGTTGGCTTCCCAGATTTTTCTTTCTCTGCGCAGTGCTATTTCCCTCCCCTATATCCTCCCTGTCCCTCACCCACCCCTACAATCCCTAACCTCTGAGTGCATCTCTTCGATACCCCCCCACCACCGGCCCACCTCCCCTCCCTCCCCCTTCCGTTGCCTGGGGGTTGAATATTTTTGTGGAAATACCTCCATGGTATACTGCTGCCAGATCCTGCCAGCCCAAGCCTCTGCCACCGCACCCCCCCCCCCCCACCCCCCACCCCCCATGCCCACATCCCTCCACTTAGAATAACCAATCTGATGATGTGACAGTTTCTTTCTACCCATAGAAAATCTGCCGCTAACCCTTTTTCCTTTCCCTCTCGCATTTTGGATTCCAGCGTAGTTTGACATGTTATGGAAGGGTTTCAGCGTCCCACCTCCGCAATCCTTATTCTATCCCAGGGAAGTGCTTGGCATGGGAATCTAATACTTGGCAAAGAGGGCCAGAAGAGGGAGGGTTGGGGATGGCCTTTTTTGAAAAGAAAGTAATTTTAAACACATGAAAGACTTCTTCTGTACTTTTTGTTACATGGATATCATGTTTATTTACAGTGAGAAATTGAGTATAAACTTGTGCCATAACTTCTTTTGGCAGCATGGAGTTTTAGTGGTATATTTCACCTCAGTGCATGCTTGTATCTGTTTCCTTTATTAAGCTACTATACCAATACAGTTTGGTCCTTAAGACGATGATCATTGGTTGCTATGACACTGGCAGGAGAAGACATCAGGTTCACTTACAAAGCTTTGATGAGACAGACATGAAAGCCTTTTTCTTCCAAACATTGAGACTAACAAGAAGAGTTGTGGCTGTCTTCTAGCCGCCCATGGTGAAGTTGCTCCTAGTGTGCAGACATTCTCTGCATCTTTTGCATAATTCCTAATACCTTTTAAAAAATACATTTTGCCAATCACTCTGATAGCGGTCAAATCTTATTTTCCATCATTGTCTGTCATCAGTGTCA